GTGTTGTGCCTGTGTACTTCTGCTTGTGGCTGTGACTCCTATGTTTCCAAACATTTAATCCTGCAGAGGAGCATGTACATGTCCCTTTACCTTTAGTGGGTTCATAAACTCATTTTCCTGGGGAAACCTATACAAATACCTGTGTTGGAGTTGGACTGCCTTGCAGCTAAACCATGCATGGCTTTGGTGTGTGCTAATAGGAAGAAGCATTTAACCTTGGCTGACGCTGTCTCGCTTGGAGGCTGGTGGGACACTCCCAGAGAGGAGTGAACTGTGCCTCGTGTCCTACGGGAGTTACGGCTGGAAATGGGGGTGCCAGACACTGGCCTTGCGGAAGGACATGAGCTGAGGTGTCCAAGGGTTGTCTGTCTCAGAAATATTGATCGATGCATGTGGGATCGTGTCTGGCAAAAAGGAGTAAGGAGGAACATACCCTGTTTTCTTTGGCGTCAGTGGGTTTGCCTGTGCATGTTCTCAGCTTTTACAGGGGGCTCTCAGATCTTCAGTGAGTTGGGCTTGCCTACCTAGTAGGGGTTGAGTATGGGGTTTTGATGTTCTGAAATGTATGCTAGCTTTAGCAGTTGGTGTGTCTGCTCCTGGTGCAGGACACCACATTGTGGGTGGGAAAGCAGTTTTCTCTAGTGCCATCCACCTTCATCTGCACCTGAGAGGGAAATTCTCATGAGAGATGCAGGTGATACTTGCAAGTTGTATCCATCTTGCATACTTCAGCTGCACTGATGCTTGGAGATGGGACACGTGATAAATGGGCACAGGAGGACCAAAGCAGGTTTACTACCTTGCACAGTCGGACCTGAAGACCATAGCAGGGCATCTTTGTTAGGAATAGTCATGATTGTAAGCTTTTTTTCCAATCTGTAGTCACTACAGAGTAGCTATCTCTCTTCTAAAGCTTACAGATAAATAATGAAAAAATTTGAATCTGACATCTTAAAGTTTTTAAAAGCCAGAAGGCATCTCCTTTCATTGGAAAGAAAATTTGAGACTCAATTACTTAGCTTTTAAAGGTCCCACGCTGGCAATTCAGGCAGGGGAAATACTGGCTCTTGTTTATGGTGGTTCCTGAACAACTAGCAAAGTCTTCTCCCCATTTTTACACCTTGCCCAGACCTGAAGGGGTTACGTTTTAAAATGAATAATGACTAAATTTATTCGTCATGGACAAATGATGACAGCTGTTGAGATGCTCCTGTTAGCGCTTCCCAGGGGATAAAGTCAGGCTGGTTCCTAGTGCAAGCCAGCCCAGCCAGGCAGACTCTGCTCGTCTTCATCCCGGATTATTTGTCCCGGGTTCCCCTCGCTATCAGGGAATTTCCTTCCTAGAAGTGAACTGAAGTTTTCTGGGCTATAATGGGTGTTGATGGAGTCCTGTGGAAATGCAGTTGTAGAGAGAGGACTGAAGCTGTAGCTGTTTAAATCCACATGTGAGGACAGCATGCTTAATGAATACGAGGGGCAATGATTGATTATGTTCTGGACTGAAAGCCGCGGCGCTCTGTGAAGCACTGTTACATCTGGGCATGCTATGGAAAATATGAAGGAATGTTGAGGAAGCTTATTTGCAGAAGGATATGTACTTGTAAGCAATATTTTTTTTCTTCTTAAATAATGTAAAGGAATTGAAAAATGTAAAGCAAATTGTGTTCTCTGTTTCTCTGAGACAGCAGAGTGGTGAGCAGACAAAGGCCTCTTTTATAAGGGCATGTCTCTGACGGATAATACTATATGGCTTTTATAAATGAGCATTGGGGGGGTCTTGGGATGGGAGATCATCAATGGTTATTTAATGTTAGAAGGTGGCACTGATTCCGCTTCAGTGCACCTCTGCTGGAGTCATCAGAGTTACACCCATGCTGAATTTACCACCTCGTGATTTGCAGATAGGCTGCAAAAAATATGATCCTAGTTCAGATGATTAGTGTGAGCAGGAGTTAACAAATGGGGGAGGGAAAGAAAGGCTTTTTAAATATCATGTATAGTAGCTTGTTTTTCTCTTCTGCACTCCCATTTTCATGTTTCTTTCTGTTCTTTGTTTCTCTTTCTGTCCTGCACACGTGCTGCTGGAAGACTTGATGTGCAGTTCTGAATGTGGCGCTGTCATTCTGCATTGCTCAGATGAGAAAATGCTTTTGGGTTATTGAAGCAATATTCTGATTTGATAAATTATGTAATGCTTAGTTTGTAGACTTAATGAACAGGAAGATGTGACTGTAAAACTGTGGGCTGTTGTTTTTTGTTTGTTGTTTTTTTTTTTTTTTTTATTGTTTTTCAGCTATGCTCAGAAAAGCCTGTTTAAAATGCAAATGATAGTTTATTTAATTGCTAAAATGCTGCGGGACTGTGATCCTTTTAATACCTGAATTTTATTATGTGAACTAGAAACCACACCCTCTTCTCCTTTCAGAGGGGTGAGGCTTTAATAATGCAGATACAAGAGGAAGTGAGTTAACTAAGGCTGCATCTAGGTAGCCTGAAATACAGCTGATGGAGAATTTTATTACCAGATGAAAGTGGTTTGGAAGTAGTAACATATCTTTTGTTTTGAATATGACTGATTTTCTCTTGGCTGGTAATATATGTATGACAAATAATAATTTTCTTAATATCTATATTGAAATAAATGCAGTTGGGGCAAATTTTGCTCTTAAGTTTTTGTATTCGAGGTCTGTGCAAGTCTTTCTGAATCACTTAAACCCTTTCCTAGAGTCTTCGGAGATTACACGTTTTAAAGTCTATTTTGATCTGCCGTGACCTTTCATGCAACTCTCACCAAATAATGTGTTTGAAATAATTCCTGTTTGATCTAGACTGTATCTTTCAGGGGGAAAAAAATATTAAATCTTGCTTTTTAAGAACTGCGTGTGGTAGAATTTGCCGGGTGACACACCTCCTAACCTCACAGAGTCAGTCCTGTGATTATTGCAAAAAAATGGAAGGGGGGGAGAGGAGAGGGAAGGAGAGAAGGGAGGGGAAAAAAGGCAATTCAGAATTTAATTTGTTTTTAACTTGATTTTCTATTAAGTGAGAAACAGTATTAATAAATCACACTGGAAAACTATGTTAATAAATCTTGAGTTGCTGTGTTAACACAGAATATATCAAGCAACTTGTTAAGAATCTGGCCAGTCTGAAGAGTCTCGTGCAGTGAATTTTCATTTAATTGAATTGAAAACATAATTTCCAATCCTTTCATCATTCTCATGGTTCTTCCCTGAGCTTTTTCCAAATTATTTTTGAATTATGTATGTCAGAACTTGACTAGTGACAGTATGGAGGTAGCATGGTCTCCACGGCTGCCTTAGGGCACTGTGTTGAAGAGAGAACTCACATCCTAAATGGGACTTAGGTTCATCTTCTTAGCTGTGTGACCTTAAGTTTCTTGATGTTAAAGTTCATATGTTCACTTTTGTCTGAACAGCAGTCCAAGTATCTGTTATTATATTACGCCTTTCCTTTAGATGTTACTTTTTTTTCCTAGCGCTTTCCCATATTCCAAGACTTCTTGACCATCAGAATTAAGGGGAGACATGTCCTTGGCCATCTTTCTTAACATGCTGGATGCTGCTTTCTACCTGCCACTTCAGTATTGTGCTGTGATTGGAGTATGGAATCTATGTGCATGGGTGCATATTGGAAATGTGGGGTTTGGGTTTTTAGATGATCTGTGATGGTTCTCCTGTGTCCAGCTGCTAATAAGCCAGTACTACTTTGGTCAGGGAAAACTCCTTAAGGCTGTTGGGCTGAAGACAATAGAGGCTTTTCTTTCCGTTCTTTGTCTCCCCTAGAATATATCTATGCTGTTAACTATTTTCTTATTTTCAGAAAGCTCAACCTGTATTGAATTTCACTCATTAGTGTCTAACTAGGAGCCCCTATTTGTTACTACATTTTCCCAGGTGCTTTCCTGAGTAGGAATGGATTAAAGCACCTGTTTGAGTTTTTGCTAAGTGAAATTTTGCAAAGGAAATGGTCCTGAGCTGGTGGAGCATGGGTGTGTACTTTGGACTGTTGGAGAGGGAAGGACAAGAAGCAGGTCTCAAATCTCGAATGAAGTGTTAGTGTGGAGAAGCTAAGTGATGGAGACGGAGGTGGCTTTCTGCCCTCAATAAATAATGTGCGCCATCTATATTAGATGTCCAAACACTTTGTCACCTTTCAACCTAAGGTTGTTTTTTAAAGTGGATTAGCTAATCTGTGTAAAACTGCAATATAAGCACTCCTTTGGAATTAAGGTGACCTTCACTGAGAATCTAAGTGACTGTAATTCATTTTAAGCTAATTTATGTTTGCATTTGGAAGTAGAGGCTGCAGTTCCCTTTGGGTGTACAGAGAAGATTCAGTTTGTTTTAGTACACATTGTATTTATGGTTTTTATCCATTTATGGTAACTTTCTATTCCCTTGTAAAGGATCTCTGGTGATCATTTAAAAAGTTAAAAGTGGATTTGTAGTTCTGGATGGCCCTGTGATTAGTGGTCTGTGGTTTATCAACAGCATGGGTGTTGCCATGCGATCTTTCCTGGGTTACCCTGTTTATTCTCAGCTTGATGCAGGCAGTTAGCAGCCTGTGCTGCCTGATACCCTCCACTCTTGGATCTTGGATTTGCTCATGGTCTTAGTTTCATTACAGCCCATGGCAGAATAGCTCTTGAAGGCATAAACATAAGAGGTACAGACTGTAGACATCTCTAGTATTATCTGTGGCTTGCATCCTTCTTCTGTAGATTTGAAATTTATTCTTCTTATATGAATGCATTCACTGAAAGAGTTTATAACATAGTGGCTGCAATAGCAAGGGATTGGGTTCAGTAGCCTGGTGTTCATTTGTGAATAACCAGATTTCTAGCGTGAAGACACTTCTGAGATAACAGCTGGCAGAACAGACCTGAACATGCTGCGCGTTTGCCATCACGTGGTCATGTTCCTTCGGACATCCCTTTGCTTCAGCAGACTTACATCTGAGTGTGCTTTTTTTGGCAGATAAAATTTTTGATGATGAAGACTCCGTGGATGGGAACAGACCTTCCTCAGCTAGCTCCTCTACGTCTTCAAAGGCCCCTGCAAACTCGCGTAGAGTTGGGATGGGGACTACCCGCAGACTTGGGTCTGCAGCTCTGGGCTCCAAGTCTTCAAGTAAGCTGACAGCATATATGAATTGACCTTCATGGGAAATATTTATAGTGTTCATGCTTGAGTTTATTGCAAGGACTTCCAGACTGGCCCCCCGAGATCCAGTAACAAATTTTTCCCGATGAAATCACTATGTGTACGCTGTCTGCATTCCACCACTGAACTCTGGAAGGATGAATCTCCACACAGTCCCCACATCCCTATAACGTGTTTTGCACTTGTGAAAGGTTGGACCTGTGCGGTTGTGCACTGCGGGCTATGAGTAAATCATGTCAATATTGCATTGTGTAGATTTTTGCCTTTATAGCTGCAACTTTAGCTGAACTGAGTGAGGCAGACTGCTTTACAGCTACATGCTGAACTTCAGCCCGTGTAATCTAAAACTGATGCACTGGCTAAGACTTTTGAGCATTGCTGGTAATGAAAGTGCAGAAAGAAAACTGAGCAGTAATTCTAATTGTGAGCAATAATTCTACATGCGATTCTAATTCTACATGTGACCTAGAGAAATGGAAAAAGTTCCTTCTATCAGACAGTCTCTAATCTGATTAGTATTCTGGAGACTATTTATCTTCCTTATCAATTGTCTGTTTGTGCACCTGTCAGATCTGCACCTTCATCTATTATAGATAGAATTAAATATTTTAAAATAAAATCTCCCATATAATTAAATATTCCCTTTCGTCTTTCAGACTGTGTCCCCTAACTGTTGAGTGACTACTGTAATGACTTTCCTAATGTGCCCTCTGTGCCTAGGGGTTGAAGGATGTTGTGAATGTCTAGTTTGTGCCTGGCATTGAATTTCCCTGTCTCTGCTTTCATTACATCTGCAGTACTCTGAGGCTGCACAGATAGTGAACTTTCCCCTGATTATGTGCCTTGATAGCCGGTGGTTTCTTAATTGATTCTTTTGTTGATAAGAAGATTGAAAGGTCTTTTTCATTTGTATGTCAGCAGCCAAAGAGGGAGCAGGTGCTGTGGATGAAGAAGACTTCATTAAGGCATTTGAGGATGTCCCAACAGTTCAGGTAAGTAGGATTTCATGTTAAAAACACACAGTACTAAAAAGCAGAAGATGGATGTAGGATCTAGCCCTAATCACTGGCAAATTGTACTTCATTGTGATGTTGATAAATCTGTAAGGGGAAGGCAAGTTTTAAATGGTGGTATTTGCCAGTAGTTTGTATGAAACCCTCAGAAGTGGGGGGAATGGGGGTGGGAGATTGTGATAGAGATACTGGGGGAGTGGGTGTGGAGCTGGAACTGGATGTGTGTGCTGCACAGGGCAGTCTGGTCAAGCAAAAACTTCAGTCAGCAGAAGCCTCTCTGTTTCATCTGTACCATCTTGGAACTGAAAGGTAACTTGTGTCTCGGATTGCTGCTGTTGTGAGTGCAACAACTGGACAGTGTATGTTTGCTAATAGATTTAGCTGGGTAGCTGAGGTGTCACGCATCCCCTCTCTTTCACCAGACCTTTATTTTTGGGACAGCTGAACAGCACACATATCCACTCATTATCTTATGTAGGTCTTGACTAATATAGACACTAGTAGCTGTGGGAATGATGCTTAAAATTGTGAAAATATGGTGTAATAATAAAAGATAATAATGTAATCATCTTGTTGTCATTTAATAATTTTTGATTGCAGGAAATGGGTGTAAATTCTTTGTTGCTGTGTCCAAGGCTAACACATGAGGAGCAAAGGATGTGAGAATGTAGTTAGAAAGTGATCTGACTTTCTGGACTAAATCTTGCATTGTGGTGCTACTCTGTATTTAAATTTGCAGATTTATTCCAGCCGGGATCTTGAGGAGTCCATAAACAAAATAAGAGAGATACTATCAGATGATAAGCACGACTGGGAACAGAGAGTTTCCGCAGTAAGTAGTGAACTTATATATGAACTTGATTAATATAAGGTTTTTCTTCATTGAGCTTAATCCCATGAAGGGGGTTCTGGGAGAACCTCAGAGTAAGACTAGAATGTAGTTTAAGTGGTGAGCATCTGTTATGTTCCCCCAAGCTCCTTATGAGCCTGAATTTAAAGCACATTTGTGAAGGAAAATGCTATTTGATATACAAGAATCTGTTGAGACAGCATTAGGTTGAACTGGAAGTCATGCAGCAAATCCAGATGTAAAGCTAGAAATTTGCTAGCAGGTGCTGAAATCAAAATGTCAAAAGTGGTATTCAGAATATTGTAAAACTTCATGACGAGGCAGAAAGTCACTTTGCTTATAGAGAACTTATTTATAATTTTGCAAAAGGGGGTGTAAAATAATTCAAGAAGAATTTACACACTTAAGTTTTGAATAAATAAATATAACTGTGGAAAATACGGAAGTGGAAAATTTAGTTATCTTATATGCATGCCAAGACTGAGTTTTATTTACTGAGGTGAGCTGTGTTTTATGATACAAATAAATGCATGATCTTGTCTACACTGTGGATTTCATCACTGGTGTAGCAACTTTGACATGTCTGTCAAATCCTATATTACAGATCTGAGTGGCAAACTGTGCTGATTCAGCTTGCTTCAGATTTTTTTATTTGCTCTACTGAGTAACAGTGAGTTTAAATCAGTGCTCTGTATAATCACTGTACAGATGCATCATTATACATGAGGGCCTGTGAAGGTATCCGAAAGAATGTCTGTAGGATGAAATGGTTGTCCCTGTAATGCTAATAGAATATTTGCCATTTTGATGGGGTCAGGGTTCCACTTCTATTAGAGCCAGATAATTATTTTAATTATGTCAATTGACATATTCTAGGTATAAGTCGGTATTACTCAAATCTGAGTATGAGCCATGCCCTTTACATCCAGTTATCCTTTTAATACAGTAGTCAGCTGTGAGAGGACCTAAGCTTTAGAAGCTATTGAAAATACGTAGTTTCTAAGGGAAATAGAGGAGAACCTTTAAGATATTTTTTGGCTTAAAAAGTAATAGTCAGGTTATTAACAATACAGTTTGAGTAGCTGTGTGCAACATGTCTGGATTCCTGTAACTGTGTGTACATTATCATACTTAGTATGTCAATTTGAGTTGAATATAAGAACTGAAATAGTGAAATTGCTTGGACTTTAAGAACAGAGTTCTTCAGTGCGTGTTGAGGAACAATTGTACAAGGACCCTGGAAACGAAGTATCAGCCCTGAACATAACTGTCCTTGTATTTATTGCTTATTAACAGTCACTGCTTTCTTTTATGGTGCTAATAGTTGAAAAAGATCCGCTCCTTACTTCTGGCTGGAGCTGCAGAATATGATAACTTCTTCCAACACTTAAGACTTTTGGATGGAGCGTTTAAATTATCTGCTAAAGACCTGCGGTCTCAAGTCGTACGAGAGGCTTGTATCACGTTGGGGTAAGTTTACTTCCTAAATATTCTTGGAATGTGATGTACAAAAAAGGAACAGGCGCTGGTTAAAACACATTTAGGATGTAACTCATGCTACTAGTACTACATAGTTATAGGTAGAACATGATTTTGCTACATCTGTTTAAAACAACGTCCGTGTAGGCCACTAATTGTAGTTCTGCCAAACTGTGTTCCAGTGTTTTAAACGACGCTGATTTGAGATATGCTGGATGAATGAGCAAGCCATGCATTCATGCACCAAGTAGCAAAGGATTGAACAATAAAGCTGAAAATGTGTATGTTTTGTTCTGGTTCAGATTGAGCTAGTTTTTAGTTTTGATGGTTTATTCTTTGTGAAATGCTTCAACAAAAAGGGTGCTGCAGGATTTCTAACAGCTTTTTTGAAACTTGTGCATATTAAGGCAAAATAGGCAGTTTCAGAGAAACTAATATAAACTAATAAGTTGAGAAAAATACATTCTTTCAGCATGATCCCATTTGATAATAAGTATTTAGCTGTGCTAGTTACTTTATTTTATGGTGAACTTACTGTTTCTATAGAGTTCAGATGAATATAGAACACAAGTTTGAAATGAAAGTACAGGAACTATATTTTGAAACATGGTGTTCTCTGTCCCTTGGAGTTGAAGAGGAGGTGACGGTTGTGAAGACTGAGATGTCAAATGTGCTTATGTCAGACTGAAGTCTGACTTGCTTAATCCATCCTCAGCACACTTACAAGCATGACTTCATTCTGTTTTTCAGACATTTGTCATCTGTTCTGGGAAACAAGTTTGACCATGGGGCAGAAGCCATCATGCCAACAATTTTTAATCTAATTCCAAATAGTGCCAAAGTTATGGCCACTTCTGGTGTTGTAGCCGTTAGATTAATCATTCGAGTAAGTATGCATCAAAAGAGAACAATGTTGTAATTTCCAAATACAGTGGTGTTTCTGAGGAAATATGAACGTTGCTGCAATGAAAATTAAGGGCCTAATCTACTTTTCTGATGGTGCTGGGCTTGACTGTCTCAAATGTCATGCAGCCGTGTGCAGATGATGATAGTTAAACCCTGACAAAATAGTAGGAAAAATATTTCTTTGCAGAGTAAGGTATCTCCATCCCTCTAAGAGCTGAGCAAACTTTTTCTTCTTTGAATGGCTTTTAAACCTGTCTTGCAGGGCAGACTTGTTGTCTTAATCATGTTCTAAAACTCCTCACAGACAGTGTGTGTTTCCTAAAACCATTAGGTTACAGAGGTGACTTCTGTCTAGTGATTCATTAAGGAAGCTGTAGATAGCCTGATATCTCTCAGGTTGTCATCACTGACAGTTTAGATCCTCTTGCAGTGACTTCAGCTCTTTGGCTCTCTGGAGCCTGTCATTATAGAAGGAAATAAAATATCTGTTAAAGTTAATTTAACAGATAAAATATAAAATACTGTCCATATCTGTTAGTGTTGCTTTATTTAGTAGTTTTATTTTTAGGAATTGAACAAAAATAAATATCTGCATAGTGGGCTCAGGTGGCTGGAACTGTGTGTAAATATTTCTTGCTGTTTTTGTTTGCCTTCTAGCATACACACATCCCTCGATTAATACCCATCATAACAAGTAATTGTACCTCCAAGTCTGTTGCAGTTAGAAGGTGAGCATTTAGTTTGAATTTACTTTCTTTTTTATCAGTAAAGAGGTTCACATGTGCTTTCGGATAACATTCATGTATTTGTTTTTAATCATGAAAAGGGTTGATATACACACTTGCTAAAGACTGCATCTCATTTTCCCCCATGAATTGGGATCAGATTTCAAGTCGGCTATCTTGTGTAAGCCACAGCACTGCAGAGAAGAAAAGACACTTTTCCACAAAGATAAATGTTTTTTAAACTAATCTTTGTGCTTACATGTTGTTCTAACATCATATTATTTTGCCTTCTTTATAGACACATTCCTATTTTCCACTACTAACTGTTACAGTGACACATTCTCTTTGGGCCAGTCAGCAGAAGTAGTGTTCTGTGATAGCATCATGTGGAAGTTGGACTGGATGTGCTAATGGTCCTCTCTGCACTTAAAATCAAAGTGTACTTCAGTCCACCACCTCACTGGGAGACTCTTGCCTCGTCCATGTAGACTAGCTAGTTAGACAAAAAAGAGGAGCTTTGCGGTTGCTGAATTTGTTGACAAACCTTTAACAAATAACAGCACACTTGTGCCTTAGTTTCTTGAAATGAGGAAAGGAGATTAAAGTTGAAAGGATCTGTCTCCACATGAAGCTAAATGTGAAGTTTCCTTCTGAAGTCTGAACTAACAGGTATAACGTATCATTAACATGGATCTTCTGGACCTGTGCCCTTTTCAATGAAAAAGGGGGCTTTCTGGATTGTTTTGTATCAGGCCCTCTCTTTGGACTTCTCTGCCTCCAGTTACTACTTCAGATTGTTTATTGATGCCATTTGTAGGGAACTTGATGTTTAGGGGTTGTTAATGAATTCTGATGTCTCAGTAAGCTTCATAATACAAGATGGCTGTTGTTCAGAGGCGTGTATGGCAAAGTTGGTGTGCCTTTGTTTACTTGGAGAACTCAGCATTTCTTCTCTTTCTTCTCTCAGGCGCTGTTTTGAATTTTTAGACTTGCTGTTGCAGGAGTGGCAAACACACTCCCTAGAAAGGTAAGATCTGAAAACAAGTGGGTTAATTCTCTCTCAGTTATGTCTGGGGAGGCTAATTCTGGAGAAAGGATAATCTAGGAGGTGAGACTATATCAGATGGATCTAGTAAAGATATTTTTGCCACCAAAAAAGCATGTACGTACATGCATACACACCATTTGCTCCCGTAGTTCTGGCAGTCAGTTTGGTCAGTCTGTCTCCTATGCCAGTCTTGGAACACCTGTCTGAGTGAATCCCTAAACTCCATGGATTTATTTTTTTTTTTTTTTCCCTTTTCCACCCTAAAGTACGAAGATGAGGTAGAAGCAGCTACATGTCTATTAGGAGCTTCAGAGATTTCTACAGTTCTACAACTTCAGTCTAACAAACGGTGAAAGTAACTGTAGGAGAAGAGACTGGGACACAATTTCCTCAGACCTAGATTGTACAAGAGTATTTAACAGTTAAGAGAGTGGTTTTGCACCCAGGCAGTTTCAATAGCTAACTGAAGACTGACCTATGAAGAATGATGCTTGTCTTTTCTTAGTCAGCAGTGTGGGTAAAATAAAACTGACTTGTAAGAGTAAATAAATAAAGGCTCCAAAGGATCTTACATAGAAATGTGAGGATGTGATGAATTATTTGTTCTTGGAGACCAAGGAAAAAATTAAATTAGCCATTTGTTTATAAGTGTGGCACATCTTTCTGGACTGCTAGATAATGTTTTCCTTCTTATTTCAGACACATATCAGTGTTAGCTGAAACAATAAAGAAGGGAATTCATGATGCAGACTCTGAAGCCAGGATAGAGGCAAGAAAGTAAGTGGAAGATCTTGTTGGTGTCTTTTCTTGCTCCCCTGCTTTGGCCCGGTTGTGTGTGAGTCAGTAGTATGGCATGTTGGGGAGATGAGTCCAGACAAGTTATGTTCTCCTGGCAGTTAATGCCAACTTTCCTTTGACTTCAGTGGGAGTGTGGACTTCAGCAGATGTCATATGAAGTGATCGCACGGGGCTGAGGTATATATGTATCACATCTCCTAATGGTTCTTGTTTCACTTTGTTCTTGTAATATTTTATTGTCTTTTTATCTGTCTGAGCAGGTAAAATGCTTACATGAGTTGTTCTAGAGTTGAGAACTAGTAACCTCACCTTTCTTTTTGATGTTTGAGTTGCTTGCATTTAACTGAGATTTCTTCTGCTTAGTACAAAAATACTATTTCTAATATTTTTTCTTTCCTTTTTGGCCTGTATGCAAGACGTCGGATGGAGTAATGCCAGGCACAAGTATAAATAGAGAGAGGAGTGGCTGGAGAGCAGCCCTGCAGAAATGGATTTGGGGGTGCTGGTCAACAGCAGACTCAATATGAGTCAGCAGTGTGCCCTGGCAGTCGAGAGGACAAACCGCATCCTGGGGTGCATCAAACACAACATAACCAGCCAGTCAAGAGAGGCGATTAGTCCACTGTATTCAGCATTGGCGTGGCCTCATCTTGAGTGCTGGGTGCAGTTCTGGGCCCCAGAGTTTAAGAAGGATGTGGAGGTCCTTGAATGCATCCAGAGGAGGGCAACAAAGCTGGTGAAAGGGCTGGAAGAAATGTCCTCTGAGGAGCAGCTAAGGACTTTGGGCTTGTCTAGTTTGGAAAAAAGAAGGCTGAGGGGTGACCTCATTGCTCCCTACAGCTTCCTGAGGAGGGGAAGTGGAGAGGGAGGTGCTGGTCAATTCTGCCTGGGATCCAGTGATAGGTTGCATGGGAATGGTTCAAAGCTGCAACAGGGGAGGTTTAGGCTGGACATTAGGAAGCATTTCTTTACCAAGAGAATGGTCAGACAGTGGAACAGGCTTCCTACAGAGGCGGTTGATGTCCCAAGCCTGTCAGTGTTTGAGGCATTTGGACAGCGTCCTTAACAACATGCTTCAAATCTTGGTCAGCCCTGAAGTGATCAGGCAGTTGGACTAGATGATGGTTGCAGCTCCCTTCCAACTGAAATAGTCTATTCTATCGTTATTTGCTACTCTTGAAATAAGAAGTCCTTGTGCTAGTATGCTGCTAAATGGTATCCTAAATGAAGGAAATAGTTTATGACACTGAAACAATATCTTTGTGTGTATCTACAGGAAACTTTAATATTTGCAATTAATTTTCTTCTTTTGAAGATCTCTTGCATTTCCATTAATGTGAGTGTATTTATGGTAGTATGCTGATACATTAGGATCATGCTCTTCTGAACAGAACACTACAGAAGCATTTTTTTTCAGGAAGGATGCTGTAAAACATTAAATCAATGAACAATAAATTTTATTAATCTAAATGCTATGTTATAGGCAGAGGTGTTTCACAGTAGGACTGTTTAAATTCTTTTTAAAGGGAATGTGCCTGTCACTGAAAAATACAGTAGGCACTGAGACTTCACAGCAGGTGGCTAGTTAAACTGAACAGTTAGCAAGGAGAATGGCGTGAGACTTCAGAGAGCATGCTTAATTCTCTCTTTCTATTAGAGTTTCTTAATTAACAGTGTGTCTGATTGTAAGACAGAAATTTGTTTCCTTCTGGTGATGTGAGAATGCATGTAACTTCTCTGAGGCTCTGAGGACTGGCTGTTAGACACAATTCTTGATTCATTTGAGCTAATGATCTTACTCTTAATCTGCCCATTAGTTGCCCCCTGAAAAGTGCTGAGAGTCTTCATCTCCTTTGTGACAAGAGTGAATGGTGTTTAGCCATCAGCTGGGAGATTTGGACCAGAGAGGAGTTCTTCCCTCATCTTCATATGCTCTTTTATTTTCAACATGGCACTGACTGGAATTCTATAGGAGCATCTCTTTCCTCTTCCTTGTTATTTCTTCCCGAAAAGACAGTCAACAGCCTCAACTCAGTACAGAAGATTTGTCTGCAGCATTGCAGGAGAGCTGTTTGTTAAACTTAAGGAGGAAACCAACACCAGCTGGTGCTTTCCTGAATCAGGCCCATGCATGTGTGTTCTGCTTTTGGCATGTTTTTGAAGTAGCTATTGAGCACCCAGTCCCAAATTAGTATCAGTCTAGTGGGTCTACTATCTCCTGTGTATGGTAGACAGGCGGAAGGATGAAGGTTTCTTGTGTAATGAAGCTTTGTTGGCTACTTATGTTTTCACAATGCACCAAATGCTGCGTACCTTTTCTTATTTTCATTAGGTTTGTCTTCTGTGTGGCTGTTTGAGCAATGCAACGGGTTGAAGGAAGTGATACGCCTTAAGTGTGTCAGGGGCAGCAAATGGTTGAAATGACTGAGCTAATGAGCCCACTAATGGCAGTAGTGAAAAGGGTTCTGACTGTACCTGTGCTCCACTGCCCCCTAATACACGACGAGGAAATGTTCTCAGTATTGTGCCTTGTTTCCAGGTGTTACTGGGGTTTCCACAGTCACTTCAGCCGAGAGGCAGAGCATTTGTACCACACCTTGGAGTCTTCCTATCAGAAGGCCCTGCAGTCACATTTGAAGAACTCTGACAGCATCGTGTCCTTGCCACAGTCAGATCGCTCCTCCTCCAGTTCCCAGGAGAGTCTCAAGTAAGACCTTTGATGTCACTACCTTTCAATTTAAACAACTGCAGATAGCTCCATTGAATTGGAGGGAGCCATCACATTGTTTTGTCTCATCTGGTCATCAGTTGACCTCAGCACTTGGCTACTCCAAATTTCTTTTTTTTTTAGCTAACGTATTAAAATAAAAAGCCAGTAAAACCCATTACTGACTTAAAAAAAAAAAAATCATTATCTTGATTACATGAATAATTTTCTAGGAAGTTTTTTGTGCTCAGCAGATACTGAGCTTCCTTCCACGTGTGCTTAAAACAGTTCTGTTAATCCTAGAGGTGTAAGTCTGCCTCTTTCCATAGAAGACAGAAAAAAAATGACTAAACTAAATTTGAATTGTAACTGCAAAATCAATATGTAACTCTCCTGTTGAATGTATTTTAGTTTCTCTTAGAGATACAGTCAACTTTGGCTCCAGATGTCTGTAATATAAATGTAAGACCTATATGAAAAATACCCATAATTTATTGGTGTAACTTTAAATCTGCAAAAAGTGTTCTTAATCTCACTCCAATAATGTGCATACTATTTTTTTTCTTACTGCTTTTGTAAAGAATTTCATGGTGGTGCTGTATTTATTCTTAAACAATAAACTTTGCTAGTCTATTCCTGTATATAAATAACTTCATATTAGCTCATTTGTATGTTGAGGGAACAGAGTAGCACTGTTACTGATGACTATGAAATACTATTTTTATTTTAATAAATATTTGTATTAACTTCTAGCCGTCCATTGTCTGCCAAAAGAAGTCCCACTGGAAGTACTACATCTAGAGGTGAGAACAGGAGCTGAAAAATATGCTCAGGTGTTGCTGGGGCAGTGTGATGAATTAGAATGAGAATTTCAGACACTATGATATGCAAATAATAATTCTGATCACTGTTTACTGGCAACTTAGTATGCAAAACTTCTAATGAGTGTTGGGTTGTACACCACACTTCTGTGCATCAGCTGCTGATAAAATGATGCTTTTTAAAGTTAGTAAATCCGTTGTTACTTGCACCTAAAAAGAAGGCTAAAAAGCTTTGAAAATTTTAGCCAAGGTATGTTTACCTGTGCAATAGCTGGAATAAACTACTGCTAATGCTAAGACATACAGCTACATAGTTTAATGGTGTGTTCAGCTTTACAACTTTCTGTCACTTGCTCTCTGTGCTTTCAGCAGTTACTGGAGGCATTGTCTGCACACAAGTCCTACAGTGTTAAATTCCATCTTGTTGCTAATCTGTTTTTACTGTCAGATGGAATATTTAGGTGCAGCTTTCCTGTCCTGAGTAAATGCATTCAACAATCCAAATAATACATTTTATTACAGAATATAATAGACAAAATTTTGTTGGTAGAAGATAAGCTGCCTTATACACCTGACTAAAATCGGGTTCTGGCTGGTTTATGTATACACACTACTGAGACCTTTGATTCAAGAAGATACTGTTGTGTAACTCACTTGATTGTGCACACAAGTGCATGTTTGCTTGCAGCTGAATAGTGAAGCTTCACACTTAAGAGGGTAAGCATCAACAAGTGATGGGAACAGCAGACCTCAGGAGAAGATGAGGTGTTGGGAAGGAATTTAGTAGAACCTGGACTGAAGGACCTGCAGGTCTGTTTTGGCCAGCAACTCACAAGCTGGTGATGGGTATTGTGGTTGAACTTTCCCATCTAGGTTCTGTTAGAAATTTCTTTACTACTGACCTGACAACCTTTTTGATCTCAGCATTTAGGTCAGTGTCTGATAAAGTTCTTAAAGGTAGTGTGAGGTCAGGATTGAAATATCTTTGCAGGCAGTGTGGGGAAGCCCACATTGCCCTGATAAAGCATTCTTAGTTGAGGTATTTCAGTGCCAGCAGGGAGCATTAAAAATAGTACATTAAACTGCTTGTCAGGTTCTTTGAAGCACACAGCTCAAAAAATTAATCATCTTTATTCTGGATCTCCCACTCCCATATGCAGCATCTACAGTAAGTACAAAATCTGTGTCAACACCAGGATCTCTGCAGCGATCCCGCAGCGACGTCGATGTGAATGCAGCAGCTAGTGCCAAGTCAAAAGTGACGTCTTCTGGAGCATCCACCCCCTTCAGTTCTGCTGCAGCCTTGCCCCCAGGCTCATACGCATCACTAGGTAAATCTACATGTTCTTCTACTCTTGCAGCTAGCTTTCTTTACTAGCAGAAAGTGCTTCATAGTTTTATTTGAATATTTAACTAGAAGAACATACCTCTGAGTTACCAGCTCTCCAGGATCAGTGTGTGATCTCTTGCCCTTTGGGATTAAGGAAAAGATTTGCAACAGAACTGACTTGAAGCAACCTCTTAGTTTTTGAATTGTATAAGTCTGCGTCTTACTCTTCTTTCTGGAGAAAAGCAGATCTTACTATGATTCTGAGATGTTGTTGAGGAAAATACTTACTGCTCAGTTCCTTTTGACGTGTCCCCCTGTATCTTTTCCTTCACTTCGTTTCCTCCTTTCCTGAAACTTTTTCCATTAATTATTTTATGCTTTGAATAGTACATCTTAGTTGAGTTTGATCGCTTTTAGTTTTACAATAGAAGGATGTAGAAGCAAAGAGTTGACTTTCCCATTTTACCACACAGGATATAAGTATCTGTTCCTTATGCTGACTCTTTTTGGATTATAGCCATGTCACATGATTCTCTTACGGCATCTTATATCAATTTCAGGTGCCTCAGGGTTTCTTACAACAAAGTTTGCATTTGATCTTTCTCTCCTGGAGATGCCATTGAAGGAGGCATGGAAGAGGAAATGCAAGGTGGTGATTGACACCGTATTTGCAGAGCTTCAACTCGGTTATTAGTAATACTGATCATCTGAACTAGTTTCTCATTCTGCTGGTTTCATTCAAATCTATTTCCAGACTTTTCATCAATTTACCTTTACAAGAGGGAGAAAAATCAGAAATCTGTGATCTTGATTTAAGCTGTATAGGTTATCTTGAGTCAGTTGAGAAGTTGCTTCTTTAGTGTAGAGCATTTGGTCTTTAGTCTGATAAAATATGCTTGGTGAACAATATAGGGATGGTTTCTACAGATTCCTTTTGTAGACCGGTTTCGTTCATATCTGAAATGTTTTCCATTGGCTAAATGTGTTGGCTGTATTTGGTACAGAAGTTGAATTCTTATTCTGATTTGAATTGTTCATATTTGGTTCAAAATTTAGATACATTGCTATGAAAGCATAAGACAGAATATGAAGTTGATCACATAATAGCATGCTTTTGAGCTTACAGGTGCAACCATTTTTCAGTCATGCTGCATACTGGCTTCTGTGGCAAAACTGCTTTCAAACAATCTTATTTCACGAGGAAGAACGGAAGGGGGGAAGTATCTACTGAAGTGGGCTTTGTACTTGAAGCGAGAGACTGAATACAGTGTTAATCTTGCTCTTAAAACAGACTGTAGGAGAAAAGCAGCAAATGCACTCAAAGTGATGCACCCATGGCTGCTCCTGAAGGAGCCTGCTTCCTTTTGAGCTAGTAGGGACATTTGTCACCTGTGCATTCCCATAAGAGAAATGGTGAGACCAACACCAGAAATGGAGTTTGGCATAGGTTGGTTATTGGAGAAGGGAAGAGCTGCAAGCGTGTTCTTCAGATACATCAAGCTTTGATTTGCTGCTGGGTCAAACTTTTTTCATTTCTTTAATTGTGTTAATTTTTTTTTGCTTATTACCGTAGCTAATATATAGTGCCCACTTCTGTTGATGTTACTAATTTTCCCTATTAACCCTTTCCTTATTTTTTTTAATTTGCCTAAAGATGGTACTACCACTAAAACCGAGGGTAAGCAGTCTCTCTCTGTGTAACTGAGGTGTGTCCACAGTCGTACCACCCTACCTGGTCTCTGTTCTCAAAGTGTTATCTGGTTCTCATCCATGTTCACTGGTGACCTGCATGAAGTGTTGCATGGTTGTCCTGCTCATTTTGATGCCATGGGATATTCTTCACTTTCTCTTCAAGCTCCTCCCTGCTAATAGGCACTAGTCTGCTTTTATGACTTGACTTCTGATCACAGAGTTGTATGTGGATTTCAAGTTTCAAATACTGCTTTTGGTTGAAGGTGACCTGCTCACAGACAGAAAAAAACCCCAACCAAACCAAACCAAAACAAAACAAAAACAACAACACAGGACTTGTGTTTTCTTGCTCCATAATGTGTAAAGGTTTGCTGTGTTTTTCCATCCAAAGCTCAGGTCGCAACTGCCAAATGCTTTCGGGAAGAGACTGGGCAGCAAGAGAATTGAATGAGATGATCACATGGCAGAAAAATGAGGACAGTAAACAATGATCTCTAGGGAAGGAATATTTAGTCAACCTCTTTAAACCTGAGCTCTCTTTTTGTTGTTAACTGTCTGAGTGAAATGGCTTACATCTAAGACAGTTGGAGGAAAGGCTTTTTTTCAAGAACACTGAGCCTGCTAGTTTGGGAGGGCTCCCAGTCTGTTTCTCTGGCTCGTTGTCAAAACTTGTTCTTTATTTCTTATTTTTCCAGTAAGAAAGATCACTGAAAAATCACTTTTTATGAAGTAGACAGGAGTTGTAAACAAGAATGTCTTCTACACAGAATGAAGACACCACACACCCCCAGCAAACCCATTTTTTCCTGATGCAAGTCTCTTTTCAAGGGATCTATTACTGTCTTGTGGGACTGTGCCCATATCCTTGATGGCTGCTTGTATTTGGATGTGGTGGACTGAAAAGTGCCACTGTGTAGTGACGTGTGGTTTTTTTCCCTACTATGATTGTTGCATTGATTTATTAGACAGAGGGAAAGGTCTCTACTGTTTCTGCAACTGGTATTTAATCTTGGTGTTGATAGATGAAGTGGCTCAGTATCATGGGCAAGTGTTTATGCTTTGTGATGTGTCAGTGATAAGGAGTATGAAGTTGGCCTAAACACCTATATTTGTAAATCAACTGTGGATCAGGTGAAAGTTCCAAATGGTTGTAATACTGAGATTTTTTTCTCATTGTTGGCCCTTCTTTTTTTTCTTCTTTCTTTCTTCCCAGTTCTCAAACCTTTCTATTTTTGGCCTAACTTTGAAATGTGGAATGTTTAATGTTAATTTATAAAATACCCTATACAGTTCTCAATCCTTTCCTAGGTGTGATAATATTTGTGGAGGCCTGTTACAACAGCTGTGCTCTGGAATACCTTTATTTTTAGTTTATTAAATACTTTATTGTCATAACTCAAGGATGGGTTTTTTATTTTATTAGGTTTTTTTTTTTTTTCAATTCAGCTACATTGGAAGCAGACTGGATTTGGTGAAAATCTGTAACAGAAACCAGCAAGTTGCTTTGAGGGGAAAGACTGAGAGATGAACTTTCAGAAATGGAGCTTGCCATCCCCTTAGTGTTAAATACCAGATCTCATCTTTTTTTTTTTTTGCTGGAGGATTCTCTTTTTTTGGGTGAGTGAGGATCAGGGAGAATTATAACAACATGGCACACTATAGTCAGAGCACTTGAAGGATGAGTTTAATTACTGTTTGAAACTCTTCATCTTTGTTTTCCTTTGAGACAGTTGAGGGAAAACCAGCCTTTGTTCAGGATTCAGCGTGTCCTACAGATGAGGGCTGAGAAAATTCTTCTGCCAACTCTCTGATCTTGCAGAGTTTGTCAGGAACTACAGGGAAGGAAAAACTTTATATTCGTGACATAAATGTAAAAAATTAAAGGGGTGGAGGCAGGGGAGGAGAAAAACATCCCCTTGCTCTGGAAATACCTATGTCTACGAGAGAGACTCTTGGGACATAAAGCAGAAATTCCATCCACATTCATGCCCCTTTTTTGTATTTTTTTTGCAGGTCACCAGTAAGCAATTTAAGAGCAAATCCCTGTATTTTTTTTTGTGTGATTCAGCTTGACATTAAATCTGCAGTCTGGTTCCCATCATGGCTTTCTGCAGCTACAGTGTAAAAGTTCTGCACCTTCCCCTCATCTGGGAGCCAGCATTGTGTGAACTTGGCAGTTTCCATCTGTTTTGCCCTCAGTTCTCCTCAGTGTTTTGTTACTGAGCCAGACATCTCAAGACAGGAGCAAGATAGTGGGTTATGCCAGTGGCAAGAATTCAAGTTAAGAGCCAAGTATCAGTTTTTGGTTTTAAATAGTGTCATCCCAATTGACAAATACTGTTGAAATGCACTTCCTTATGGAAATGTAGCATGAGTCTATATACCACTTAAATCTGTGCTGTGAGGCTGTGTCTTCATGCAGTGCACAGTTACGTCTTGACTGCCAAGGCCCTTCATGTATGGTTATCTCTTGAACTTCATTAAAAGCTTTGAAGGCAGAAAGCTTGTAAGATCTAAACATTTATAGTCTTGATCAGGACTTCACAGGTAGTGCTATGCAGGTAGCAGTTGTGCCATGTATGTTATACCTGATTAAAAGGAAACCTTATAAAAATTTCTGCTTGTTTTATCATGAAACGGCTTTTCAATGAATATTATTAAAAAGGTGCATAATACTGACTTTCAGTACAGAATAATGGTTCAGAGTGTTTCTGTCGTCTGCCTCCCTTTTTAAAATGGGAAAATAAAGACAAACCCTTCAGACAAGCCTTTCCTAAAAGGGGGAAGTATAAATGCTGGTCTGTCCTGAAACTTGCAAGTTTAAAACAAAATCTGCAATTTCTAGAGTTAGTGACACAATTTTTAATAGTTTTTATTATTCACCAGAAAGAAATTAAAATCTGGTTTGTTACAGTTCTTAGATAACGTAGGCTCAAAAAGAGTGGTCTGCTCAGTTGGACATTATTAGCACCTTGACAAAGGCTTTGGGAGTGATACAGGTTTCAAGAAATCACCATTCCTGTTTTCTTCTCTGCCTTAAAGCTCTCCCTTGTCCTCAAGGGCAAGGCTTGATTCAAAGGTGTGACTGAATGTGGTATCTTAAATGGAAATGTTTAGGTAGTAGGTTCTTTGTTCTCTTGGTCCATCCCTTTACAAGTGCTGACTTGATTTGCCTGTGCTTGTTGGTGTAGGACAAAGCAGTGACACTACTGTACCCTCAACACTCTGCTTTGGAGGGAGTTCTTGTGCAAAATGCAGATGCAGCATATGCTGATGGTTTTCATTAAAGGTTGAGAGCTTCTTGGGGGCAATTATGGTGCAGTCAAGTCTTATAGTACTATAATGTTGGACATGTACTAAATATGCATGGAAACCATTCCAATGGTTTTTGTATAAAGTTTTTTACAGATTTATATGTAAAGCATGTTTTAAATTCATGTGTGCATGTCTCAGATGTCCACCTGTCACTTAGTGACACGGTTAGAAGGGTCCTTGAGGCTCTTTCAGGATTGTTTTTTTCCATGCAGGGGTAAGACCCAGTGCTGAGTAACCTAAGTGCATTAACCTGATCCATGGAGAGACCATTACCATCCCAGTGCTTCCATGTATAACTTGTGTGGTTGTAGGTGTCATTATTCACAGCATGGAACAGATTAATCTGAGTTGTGGGGCTGCTATATACCATTTCTAGACTATTTGAAAACCATTTTCATTAATGTAATATACAGGCTGAGTCTCACAAAGACTATGTCTGTTCTGAGCACTGAGGATGGAGATGCTGCTGTATCTACCTGGAGAAGCTTAGAACAGTGCTGCCAGATGAAGCCTCCTGTAATACAAATGTTATCACTGAGTTTTCTTTCACTTGTTCCTTTTTAAAAAACAAAACCAAACAACCTTAATAAGTTAGACATATGTTAGACATTTCAGGGTTGATTCTGATCCATTGATTGTTGTAAAAATGACAGTAACTTTAAAAAACAAACCCAAAACCTCCTAAAAACCCACAAATGGTTTCTTAACACAAAGCATTTATACAGAATCTTTCGAAATACTTTCTGTACCAACAGCAAAGTGTCACATGTCAAATTTAGATCAAGGGGTTTTTATGGAAATACTTTTATGGTTTTTGGAAACTAGTTGGGGCAGTCTTTATCTGCTCCTTTGCTGTGCTGCTGTTGTCAGGATGCAATAATTCTTTTAAAAGCAGCAGAAAAATAATGGTTATGAAATATGAATTGCTACATTTGCAGTTTGAACTAGATATGGAAACAAACCCACTTGAAAGCAAAGAAGTTTCGGGAGGGGGAGATGTCTACTTGAGTTTAGCAAGGAAAAAAAAAGCCTGAATAACTTGATATGTTATTTCCCATCCTGCTTTAAATTAGTTTTTCTGTGTGGGGTAGAATGGTAGAGATAAAGCCACACAAATAGTCCTATGTACAAATAACTCTCGTATGAGAATGCAGACTTTTGTTTGCAGATGAAATTCTTAAGGGAATATAGTAGAGACACTTGTATAGATGAACTTCCACATATACATGCTGCACTTGGTATAATATATATTGAAAATACTGATATTTTCAAGCCAGACAAATACTGATTCATCTTACACTACTATAAAGCAAGTAGGTTTTGGATATCATAAGGCTAATTCAAAAGTTGTGCATGTATGTGAACGTAAGTTGAGATGTGAAATATCCTCTGTCTCTCTCGTATCTCATACAGATTCACCTAAAGCAATTTTGAGTTCCAGTTGTTCATTTGTTTTACAGCTAAAAACTGTACTTGGACAGGAGAAACTTAGAATCTTAGTTTTTTTCTTAAGAGTAGCTTTGAGTCACTTATTTTGAACCATTTGTATGCTGCAAGTAAGATTAATTATCTGTATAAAAAAAAGGACATAGTTTTTAAAGTTCAGAAAATAAAACTTTGGAAAGTACATTTAACAATTCATGCTTCAAGGAGTATGTATAGCTGATATCAGATGGCACTTTTTCCTTGTAACTGTGTGAAGAATTTGACCTTGAATTTAAGAGGCATTTTTCCCTCTCATATTTTATTTTATCCCATGGACATGATAGAATCAAGTACTCCTAGGATGAGCTGTTACTGTGCTATTGCAGTATTTGTATCAAGTCATTTTTGTGTCATGAATTCCTAGTTTCCACTATTTCTGTTATCATTTGCACAATGCAAGTCCAGTTCAATGTTAGTTCAAACATTTGTCAGCCTTTTGAGAAGGATGAGAAAACCAGTATCAGTGTTGGGTCTCCGTTCCTCCTGTGCAAGAGCAACTCTTCATCTCGCATTGTTCTCTGACACTTATTAGGCCAAAATCAGTGTGCAAATCTACCAGTCCAAAAGGAAGCAGAATTTTGTTCTTGGGCATTTGTTCATTCAGAAACTGCTGAAGCTGGTAGGATTCTGTCCACTAACTCTCAGAGGTTTCAAAATAGGACTCAGCTCTTCCTAATCCTGCTGATAATCACACGTTAATTAAGTTTGACCATTCATTTCAGTTTTCTTAAAGCTCCCAGAATTGGTACCAGAAGATAATCTTGGTTTCTCTTTATGTGTAATCTTAGGCTTTGTATTTTCTAAGGTGGGAGAGTCACTTATTACATATTGTTCCAGTTTCTTCCTCATTCTTAGTCACCTGCTGATAAAGGGAAAAAAAAAAAAAAAAAAAAAAAAAAAAAAGAGAAGACTTTGTCACTGCAGAAAGAACAGAAAATTTTGAGGATCTTGAGTGGCCTGTGCATAAGAGGAGGAGACATCAGTCTCTTCTCACCCATTTTTGGCCCTTACACATCACTAAATGCATTTTCCAATACCGTCTGTTGCTGTGTAATGTTGAATCTCAGCTTGAGTCACCCCCCAGAACTTTCTGCAATGCCAAGGCCTTCTGTTGACATTCTGGAAGGATCTAAGTTAATTCTGTTGCTGGTTCCTAAGACCAGTCAGGTTTAACTTCTTGTCTTACTAGTTTATATTTCTCCTGCCACCAATGATGCCCTCCCGATGTGAGACATGAAAGGAAGCCTCGCGGCTTCTGACAAGAGCATGAGATCCTTCTGCCTCCTTCCCCATGCACGCTTACTTTGAAGCCTGCGGTGGCGTTTGGGGTACATACCTTGTGGCAAGTCCCACAGTGGCTCCGCTCATCTGTATGTAGCTTGTGTATGTGCCAAACTTGCAAGGGATGGGAGTGGGTCAGCAAAGAGCTCTAGAGCTGCCTCTGCTGGTGTGTCAGGCTGACCGTTTGTAAGGGGCAGGTGATGTACTAGAGCAGAGGAGATCTACAGCCTTGCTGGTGGTAAGAAGACCTTAGCAGACAGTTTCATGATTGTTGGACCCACATGGATGTGTTCAGAGCTTGTTTAGGTGAGCCAGTGGTTAAAAAGTGGTTTATATATATTTGCTAGTTTTATGCTAGTTATTTCTTCTATGTCTCTGCTACAAACAACTGTCTGTACGTGGATGCCTATATTGTGCCCATTGAGCTATTTTAAAAACAGATGTCAGTGGAGAGGGTTGAAGTACAGCTGTCTTCTATGCTTTTCCCCTTGCAAACAAGTCTTAAGCTTTCTTCTTAAACATCATCTTGTCACCTTGTGTCTATCAGAAATTTGCAGACCATGTTATGAATATTTTGAGAGCTCAGAGAAGAGAGTTCTCAAGCTGTCCAGGGTGGGCTGCTTGCCATTGTCTTGTCCTGCATGTGTACTTTATGTGAAGTGATTTTTTTTCTGGAGTGGGAAGTGTGTATTTCCCTGTTCATATTTCTACGTATGCTTATGGTGCAGACAAAGGGAAGAAGATTAATATCTATAATCAGTGGGTGCAGTTGTCTAGACTCTTACCTGTTGTGGTTTGTTGGTTTGGTTGTTGTTGTTTTGTTGTTTTTTTTTTTTTATTTTTATTCGTTTTGTTTTCTTTTTTTTTTTTCTTTCCTTTTTTATTGTGCCTGAAACCTGAAGTCATCCTCTGAATGCAGGATAGCACTGGCATGAGTCCTGAGAAACAGCTTCAGATTTGGCTGAGAACTGAGTTGTTGAAAAGTACTGATGGAGTCTTTCTTTGTGTTGCTCTTAATTATCATTTCTTTCCCATTAAATAGAGACAGATAATTGAACCTTAGCACTGGAAAGAACATTCTGTAGGAAACAGCCCTGCCCCAGGAAGGGGATGAACTGATGACCCTGTAAGCTTTTCTAGCTCAAATTTCTGTGGCTTTTTCATGAGGAAAGGACAGAAAAAGGACCAAGAACACTTTGAGACTTTATATCCATTCTTTGCTTAAATAAAGAGCAGACACACAGAATCATTTTTCCACAACGCTGATTGCGTTAAATGGGACTCTCCATTACAAGTAAAGTTACACTGATCTTGGGGATAAATATGAGGGATCTGTAAACAGCAGGGAAAATTCAATGAGCCTGAAATAAAAGCGTAGTCAGGCTGCGTTGACAGACTCTCGCAGGAGTGCATGCCAGCCTGTGCATGTAGAGCAGGATATAAAGCACCAAACTGCTAATTGGAAATCCCAGCAATGGAATTTGTGGGGGCATCTGTCACGCCTGTCTCTAAAAGGGTGATCGTCTTGTCAGAAAGTAATAATTTGATATGGGAAGCAGCATTTAGGAGACTGGAATTTTTGTTGTTGATTGTAAAGAAGCTACTATAGAACAGAAGCAAAGGCTATAGAGAGGTAATATTTTTATTTAAACTGGCTGATAGCATTACAGAAACCAAGTTTTCGGATTCATGGACTGTGACTGTTTTCACTCCCTCCCCTGTGTCTCAGCCAGTCTAATAAAATATGTTGCCTCTCCCTGTAAAATTCTTCTGTACCCTGGTTAATTGTGCGTATAGCAACCCTGCAAGCATAGAACAGCATGTTAGACACTGCTGCTGCCTTTGGAAGAAACTTATTAACAGTCTGATTGTCTTTGCATTCCTCCAGGTCGGATTCGTACAAGGAGACAGAGCTCTGGCAGTGCCACAAGTGTCACCTCAACGCCTGCTGATACCCGAGGCCGCAGCCGGGCTAAAGTAGTTTCCCAATCCCAGCGTAAGGAGTGTTTTATTTCTGGGGGAGCGGAACAGATAGTTATTAATATGTTTCTCTTGAACTGTAGTAGCATCAGCTGAGATTTGGGCTCACTTATTCTAATAACATTTGGATGGGTAACAAAATGAACACCCACTCAGCCAGTGTGTGCTCTTGCTGACGAATAGGTCCCCATATACAACTGCTTAGTTGCTGCCTTTTTCTATCAGTTGTGCAGCAGAATTTCATGTCGCTGTGATGTGTAGGACTAAGTTAACTTGCACCGAGTCCCATGTGAGACACCCTCTGTGTCTGTAGCTGACTGCTGTCCTGGGTTCTTACCCTGCTGAGCTTCTGCTTATGTGACTGTATTTCTGTATGTGTAACACATGAGCTGTCTAAAGTTAATGGGATTTGGCATCAATTTAAAATAGGACATTACCTATTTTGTGTAGATACAGGGGGAGGTGGTTCTGTTCTCTGATTCACATGACCCATCTGCACTCTGGCTTCCTGGCAAGGCATGGTTTTCCCCTAGGAGCCGTACATACAGTGCTGCTGCATATGTGTCATGTGTGTCTAAGGAGAAGTTTGTCACTCAAACTTTTTAAGGAATTGGGGGGAGGGAGAAAGCCACTCGTGTTTTGAGGACCTTCAAGCTTGTGGGTAAGAGCAGATGGGGTTTGTGGAAAGACCTCTTTGTTCTGAGGACTTGTGCTGTTTTGTACCCCTGTTTAAAAGCCCTTCTTTGTTCATTCTCTCATTGCTTTGCTCTGTCATACTGGAGGGATGGAAAAGTAGTTTATAGCATTGTGTTAGGCTGGGAGAGCTGAAGAGAGAAGTATTATATTGAGAATGGGGCAAAATATAAATCTTTACATTGAAGTCATGAAGGAATTTAGGCTTTGGTATGCTGATCTAGATTTGATTTCTTCAGTTTTGAACCTAAAACTGATCCAAAGACAGAAATGACCTTTTTTCCTAAACTTAGTTTGGTGAAAAATCATCAGATCAAATGAGCAAGTCTCAGAACTATTTAATGAATAGTTGAGTAACCAAATGTTTCAAAGATCATGGGCTTAATTTTTTTATATAATGTCTTATGAAGCTTTAGGATGGTCATATCTGAACCTGCTGCCTGGGTCTAGTTTGCGGAATTCTGTTTCCAGCCTAACCCAACCAGATGTGATCTTTATCCTTAAGCCAAACTTTCAGTGGGATAACTTATGATTTCAGATATAGTATGGTCCCAGGGCCGAATTCTCAATGCCCATAGAGTAGATAACCCTATTGCAGTTTTGCAGACTGGGGCGGGGTGTAATTTAGAGCAGAACTTGGGTCTCGGTGTGTTGGTTGACATTTAGCTAAGAAGCTGATCAGCCTTGGGAATTTATTAGTTGCATCTGCTTGTTAACTCACTGTATTCTGCAGAGGCTTTAGGAGTGACATGTTTGTAAATAATTCTGTCTGCACTGTGTATAGCATAAACCGCATGCTGAACGCTGTATTGTCTTGCTGTCTTTTAATCCACTTTTTGCCTGTCCTTTGGTCTGCCCTCATAATCAAGGATCCAGATCAGCTAATCCTGCTGGTGGTAAGAAACGTTTTCCCTTTCTTGCTCTCTGATGTTATTTCCTTCACATTTTTTAACTGTTAAGCTTTTAGCTTCCTTCACTCTCTCCTAACTGAGACTTAAAAAGCATTTTCTTAGTCATAAATCTAAATGTATATGGCAAGTGATGTTGCTTTCTCATAGTAATTAAGAATAAGTGTACATTCTGCATATTGAAGCTGGCTCATTGCTGGAACTTAAACCCCAGGTGCTAAATTCTTCTTCCAGTTACCTCAGTATAACCCTGGTGAAATCAGTGAGATGGCAGCAGCATAGCTGAGCGGAGTTGTGACTTTTAGGGTGTGGATGCTGTGTGTGACTGGCATCTGTCACAAGTATTCTCACTTTGGAGAGGGGGGACAAGGAGCCAGTACCACACAGAGTATTAGAGTATATAATTTTGATTGATTCAGAATGGCTTTGGCTGAAAAATTGGAGGGGGCAATTAAGTTAAAATAATACGTGTGTTATGGTGTTATCCATGAGATTAACAGAATTGCATATCTTCTTAAGACAGAAGAACAATCTTTAACTCTTGCTTGTTGTATTAGTATCTGGGTCTGAAATTTTTGTGAAATGTGTAAATGGTTTTCAGAAAGAAGTCAGCATGAATATTGGTTCAGAATGTGAGGTTACCCAAGTATGTTCTTACAACATTTTGAAATATAATTTTTCCTGCCTGTTTTAGTAAACAAATTGAATGTCAGGAATGGTAATACCAGCAACAAATTTTCAGTGACTTTTATACCTGAAAAAGCAAAAAAGAGGTTTGAATCTATTACTCTCACAGTTCTTTATGGTTACCTGTAAGCTAGCATTACTTAATTTTCAAACAATTTACCAAATGAAGATCTACAGAGAAAAAAAAAAAAAGTATTATTCAGCTTATTGAATTAGATGGCAAGACTGTTTCAGATAGAAATACCTACTGCAGATGGAATGTAAATATGTAAATAAATCCTGGTTAGTAGACTGTCTTGCAGACAACATGGCTTAGCAGAAATGTAAACTTGCCATGGAATAATCAAACAGTCAGTTCCTCAACTTGATAAAAATGTTCTATATCTGCAAAATAACTCAGTAGCTTAGGTTTAACCAATCAGACCTAAGTAAACCAGCATCTCTAAAAAAGTGCCAAGCTCATTTGGTTTACCCTTTATTGTGCTGATCTGCTGCTATTGAGATGGTATTTTTTTTTCATTTTCCTTCACTGAGTTATTGCAGAGAAGTAATGCCACCACTGCAGTGTGGCATGAAGATGGCTAAACTACTTTGCATCAGGTTACCTGTTCCAGAAGCCAGCATGCTGCAGCACAGCTCTTCACACAGGCTCATTTGTGTTGCTTTGCAAGGAGGTGAAGCAGCCTGTGAATTCCATGCTGCTGCAGCAAGGCTGCTCCTGGTACCCCCGCAAGCTCACATAAAACCAGCTGGGGTGTTCATACTCTGCAGTGTCTGCTTTGGTCTTGATCCCAGGTGGGCAGTGTGGTTCATACAAGCAGGGTTGCTTATGTTGGTGTTTATTGTCCATGGGCTTTTCTCAATCTTTGTCAAAAGCCCATGGGGAACACTCCCATTAGTTTTCTGAGTGATTTAGATCAAATGTTTAGGTAGAGCTGATTGTGTTCCAGTTTTGCTGTCAGAGCATTTAAAATCTTGGGGATTATTAATTTTTTTGTCCTTATTTCTGATTTTCTTCTAGCTGGTAGCAGGTCTAGTTCTCCGGGTAAGCTGTTAGGAAGCGCCTATGGTGGCCTGAGCGGTGGAACATCCAGAGTCCAGCCAGTGCCATCATCTTCAGAGAAGCGCAGCAAGATCCCTCGGAGCCAAGGATGCAGTCGGGAGACGAGTCCCAGCAGAATAGGACTAGGTAAGAATAGTCACTGCAGTGACATGCTGACCTGTGTGCTCGAAGGAGGGACTTTCCTGTTGACTAGGAAGCTGTTCATGTGTTACTGAGTTTTTCAACGGGTGAGTTAATGTGGTTGTGGTTTGTAGGAGAGCAATTTTAATTTTCCAGGTTGTGCTATAGTTTCAAAGTAGGCTTAAAGATGTCATGAGATGTCTTCTCTTTGAAATTCAACATGAGTGATATTATTAGATCAGGCAGCAGTTGTCATGAATAACCATCACAGCAAAAATACCTTATTTGCCATCAGTGGCCTAATACTAAAAAGAGTTGAGCAGTCTTTATAGTCAGTTGGAATCAAGGGCAAAAAGCACCTTCTTAGATTATTTTAGAAATTTTTCAGCTTAAATGGTTTGCTTCTCTTACCCTTAATATCTTGGAACCACTTTCTTAGGTGGCATTTTAGACTTACGCTTTAATTGTTCTGATTCCAGTATTTTTGTCTCAGTGACTGTTATGTAAATACTCTGTAATAGTTTTTATTTTCAAATTTGTCAGCAGACTCATTGCATATCTGAATTGAGGTGAAAAAATATTCAGTGTGCTGTCTGAACAAGTAAATATTGTTTTCATTTTTTAAATGGAAATATTTTCCTAAGTTTGAAGCTTATGTAGAGGAAGAACACTTTAAAAAAAAGTCTGTTACAAAATTATTTTATAACTCCAAAGAATTTGCTAGTAAGTTGAAAATGATTGAAATTATAGCCTGACTGTTGTCAATTACATTTTTAACTATTGCCTTAGCAATTGTATTTTACATTTGCGCTACCTTTCTTTTTGGAGTATGTTATTACTAGAGAGGTATCTTATTCATTCTTCAAGTATATTGAAATGAATTTAAAGCACCTGAGCACATATGCTGTTACGATTCATAAAAAAATATTGCATGTTCATTGTGATTTTTTTTCCTAATTCAATGTTCTCATGTCTGATCTGTTTTATGACCTCTGTATGAATACATTGTGCTTTTCTGTTGTTGCTTTTAAAATGTAAAGTGCCTCCCAAATATTGGAGATAGTTGTTCTGCTATCGCTCTACAGAAGAACATTGTTTTTTAGGAAGAAACAAAGAATGATGGATAGTAACATCACACATGCTTAAGCTGATCATCACATTATGTGGTCTGATTTGAAAGTCTCAAGCATCTGAAGGGAAATTGCCTTGTGTAAAATCCTCACTCTTGGGTTGCCTGCTTTCAGGTATATTACGGGAGCCTTGAATTCTTCTGAAAGTAATTTGTATCTCATTGCTCTCATGTGGTCCCTGTGAGCACAGTCAGTGCTTGTTCTTTGGGAGTGGGAGAGAGTTCTGACAGATCTGTCAGGTGGGTGGCTTCCACCCAGCCCCACAGGTCGACGGCCACAGCCTGTTCTTTTGGGCTGTTATGGGAACAGGAGAGTCGGACACTTGTATTGCCTATACTACCCAGTTGCAGAAATTCTGTCTCTGTATTGGATCTTGAAAATGGTAATATTGGCTTGGATGGAGATAGCTTTTGAGCTGTCAACTTCATACCATTATTCCATTGTACTTATTACTTTATAACATAGTAGCTAACAGTATTTTGTGCCGTCTTATTGTGTTGCTTAAGTTCCTATCTTTCCTTCACATGTTTTTCATTTGTTCATTTCATTAGACTCCCACTCACCTTGGTCCTAAATATGTTGGTTGACTCTTTCAGAGTCTGATTCAAGAAGGTGCATGAGCACATATGACATCAAATGTACAGGCAATACTTCAGGCTTTGTGGATTATTTATGTATGATACACACGTGCTTATCCCACGGGCTGAAATGTCTCTTGAGTATGTGATCGCATTGCTGTGCAGCAGGTGTTGAACCATCGTGCAGATCAGACTGTTAGAAGTGGGTAATTCCTGGATCCTGTTCATAACTCACCCAATGACTTGTGTAGTTTTTGCAGGGGTGACTGGGAGTTGCAGCCAGACCAAAGCTGGGTGCACAAGACGAAGTACACAGCATGGGCCCTGCATGCAGTTGGGCTTTATAGAGGAACCATCCCCTGGATTTTCTCACGCCCTTCTGGGGCAGTAGCAAGATAATAGATCCTCTGCACATGGGTGTCTGTTAGCATCAGTACCTTGCTGCTAGCTTAGATTTCCATGATGACCGCAGGTATCCATGAAGTATGTTTCTTCTGTATGCTGGAAGCCTTGAAGTACGTTGTTTTCCAAGAGGCGGCACAAGGAGGCACATCTGGCATGCTGAGGTCCTGCATGCTCACCTATATGGCCCCGCTCTGGTGCTTTTCAGTTTTAAGGTTGTCTTTGCTATGTGCTCAGTAGAGATTTACTAGCAGTGATACCCTGTTGGGGAAGGAAGAGGATAGTTCACTTAATTTTGAACTTTTTTTGGGCCCCTTGAAGGACATCTCAAGAAGGATGATGTCCATTTCCCATGGATTGAAAGTTTATCTGCTTGAAGTTAATTCTGTAGGATGCTCAGCAGATCGTGTGGCACAGTTGGATCTGAAAGGAGGGAGAGATTCGAGATTGTCATTGTTCAACAAGTGGAGCAGGCGCAGCTGGCTGTCAGTTTCATACAGCAGCATTCTTTCTGTTGGGGTTGTGCTGTGTGTATTTATTGTAAAGCTGAAGGCAGTTCTTGACTTGCCTCTACTGGGTGTACCCCGCTGCAGAGCTTTACTTTGGCTGTTTTGGCAGCATTTACAGGCTCTTTAAAAGGCTTGTATTGATGTAAAGGAAGCGTCTGCTGATTTTTAGTCTCCACTCACACCCTAATGAAATACAGGTTTCTTCCAAGTGGTATAGATTGGTAAACAGGGGCACTATTAAGTTCTGCTGTTGGTATTTGCATTTGTTGGATTCCACTGGTGTAAGACAGCCTAATAGTGTGTTTTAGGAATGGTGTGAGCTGTATCAACTGCTCTGACTTTCCAGATTAAATTGGTAAAACTTAGATGTACAGGACACATCTAGAAAGTTGGAATTTTATTAAAAACAACCCAGCGTTGTCCTGTCCCAGACTCTCAGTCCAGAGCTGGCTGTGGGTACACTGTCTTTCATCCTGCCTACTCCTTTTAATCAATTTTGCTACTCATTTATTTAATTTCTGTCCAACTTCTGGGGGTTGGGAATTCTGAAATTGAGACTTAATGTCTGTCTTCTCTGCCTTTGCTGCCTGCACTGCAAAGACAGGCTGTGACAGTATGAGAGACTCGTGTAAATGACAGTGCTGCTGGCTCTTACTGCTGGCAGTGCCAGAAGGAAATACTCTGAGCAGCTGAGAACCAATCTTCCTGACACAGCACAGCAGTGAAAATGTGAGGCAGGTGCCTGGGAGTCCCACAGACTCATCATTCAGTTCTTTTCAATCCATTCTTTTTTTTTCCTTGTTTTTGTACTTGTATCCAATAACATGCAAATCTTTTGTTTGACCATTATTCATGAAGTACCCAGTGTTTATTTTTGGGTGCTCTGTTTATGCAGTCAGTATTGTGCTTTATCTCTGGTGTTGTCCTACTAGTGTGTTCTCATGCAGTTAAAGTGCATTTTCTTCATACTTCATGCTCTTGCTGTTAGCTGTTATGGAAGGAGAATGTACTGTGTGCATCTGTTAATTTTTTTAATCATTCACATCTCTCCCTCTTTAAAGAGCTTTTGCTGGTTTCAGTAGAGTTGTATTATAGAAAAGATTGACAAATCTTCTCAAATTAGAGAAATGACTGCTTGTGCAAACTGATGTGATTGATGTGAAGGCTGCCATTATTTACATATAAGCATGAGACCCAAGAATGAGAAGTTTGCTTCTAGAGAGTCCTCAATTTCAAGCAAGTATTTCTATGGAAGACTTGAGTGTTACTTTCACCTATAGTTCACCTGTTCGCTTTTTCCCTTGTACATCTGAGGTGGTATTTTTGTACTCATGGACCCTAATTTCATCTAGTTCATATAATTTAGTCTGTTTTATTTATTATAAGACCATCTAACTCACTCAAGTTTTAGGCATTATGGTGATCTAATCAACTTGGTCAGTAGCTCATCTTGTATTGTCTGACATCAAAGGTCAACCATCAGAACCATTAATTCATCTGAGAGATATGAGCTGGGTTTTGCAAAACTAGGAAGGATTTGCCAAACCAAAAATCTGGCAGTAGTCTGTATTTGAATTTTAGAGCCAAAATATGAAGGTTTCTATTTTGTTCTGTACTGTTTTGCTTGAAAGGATGCTAATATATCCAGTGTATATGAGCCCACAGAAGCACTGTAGGGGAACTTCGTGACCTTGAGCCTAGGTATTTAAATTCTGTATAGAAACTGATAGAGATTTATAAGAATATATATATTCTGAAGCATGCAAATAGCACTGTTTTTAAAATACAAATATACTGATAAAGTATTAGTATAAAGCAGGTTCATGTTATGCATATGTACCTCTGCTACACTGGCATCAAAGCTGGTAGATTAGATTTTACTCTGTGTGTGAGAAAATTCCTTAAAGGCTTTTCTGAACACTTAAACTATGCTATTGCCCTTTCAAAACAGCAAAGGAAATCCCTCTAGTAATTAAATTCTTCAAGGTAAACTCATGACAATTAACTGTTATTCTTTTTCCTAAGAAAACACTGTATTCTTTACCAGGCATAAAATTATAAAATAACTATCTGCAAACATTTTTCATATCAAAATGACACAGAATTTGCAAAGGAATAATCCAGTTTTAGATATCCAAATGCTCATTTTATAAAATCATGAAATTAAAATCCTTTATGTTAAGCAGCCTGCTAAGGGCCTAGCTCTGTTTTTCTTACTTGGATAAAACTGCAGCTAAAGTCAGTGGGATTGCTTTTTACTGTGAAAGCAGCTTAATCTTCTCTCTTCTAATTTGCATTTGGCCAAATGAAGAATGTGCATATGATGAGTTCCCGTGACACATCTGATAGGCAGGAGCCTTATTAGGCTGTGGGAAATTGAACACTTGATAGCTGCCAGACCAGAGATAAGAGTCTTGCTGATGTAAGATTTTGTCTGAGGAATACAGTTTAAAGCTCCCCTTAAGTATGCATAAGTCTCAACCTGTGTGCACATAAAACCATAAACATAAAGTTTTAGAAATGTTTGAGAAGCAGAAGTTAGATGGCTTCTGTTAAAGAACTGAAGCTTACTGCTGTCTTGAAATTCAAACCACTTTTTAACCTGTCTTTCAGGTATTCAGGTTCTAAATACTTTTTCCCAGTATCTTTAATTGGAGAAAAATATCTGTGCAAGTCTGTACAATACACCTTTTTTCCTTAGCATATTTGTTCATGTGAAAACTATCCTTGTGAAAGGCAAATCTATGTAAAAATAGTATATTGGTATTGTGACTACTTTTAAAAATTTTGACCTGCTGTTTTGTTCCAGAAGGTTGTTTAACTTGTAATTAAGGAAAAAGTATTCCAGAAGGGTTCCTTTCAGCCTCATCTGTTTTGCATGTTTTGTAACAGTAGAGCTCCCCTAAATGATTGAAGATTCCTGCTCTACTTGAATAACAAAATTTGGATTGCTTAAGAAAAAAGCAGACTATCAACCAGACCTTTAATGCTGCTGAAATTTCACATCACAAACACAGCTCCGCATGTAAGGTAGTTGGTTTGTAAAGAGCCTGAGCAGGCTGCTGCAAATTATAATTACTAATGTAATAATTACCGTAACTAACAGAAATGTGACTTGACTTTGAGCTTTCTGTCCTCATTAAACTTGTTCACCTTCTCTGAAACTCTCCATGCTGCATGCTAGCACGGAGCAGTCGTATCCCCCGACCCAGCATGAGTCAGGGGTGCAGCCGTGATACCAGCCGTGAGAGCAGTCGAGATACAAGCCCTGCTCGGGGCTTTCCTCCACTTGGTGAGTACATGTAGGCATTGGAGCTTTAAGGGTCAATTTTTTATTTTTTTTTTTCCTTTCTCCCTTGTTCTGATTGCCCTTCCAAGACACTGCCAGGTGGAATGAGCTGTTTCCTGTCCTGTGTTGGATTCCTGACACACTCCCTGCTTCCAACCCTGTTTCCCTTCTGTTTTCTTCTGCATGCTTCAATCCTGGTTCTCAGCATTTCACTGTTAGCAGGAAAATAGTTTAGTTTGAACTTTTGTAATTTTTAGTTCCATAAAATCAGCTTGTATGGGCTGCTGTGCTTCACTTTACAGCACTGATGGAAATCTATGGGAGAGCCAGCCTCCATTTTCTAGGTCACAGTGAAGTAGTTGGTAGCATCATAGCCAGTTGTTGAGTGACTCTATTCATGATCCGATTTTCTTACAACTAGATACAGTAACAGTATATAATTTCTATACTAAATCCTCCAATAGAGATAGAAGCTCTTTTTTGTAGCAGTTTTACAGAAAGTTGTCAATCATCAATTAACAAGTAGCACATGCCTTTTTGTAGGAAAATTTTTCAAGCAGCCTGAAGTCATGGAAAGGCTGAGGTTTTAAAGGAGCATCGTTAACGGGCAGCTTAAGTGTACAGTACAAATAGAAAATCTCATTATACTTAACGCATGCAGAAGTTTTTCTGCACAGTGCTGCAAACAGCAGGACAGTTAATGTTTCTGATCAAATGCCACATCATATATTCAACCAAATACATTATTTGTTGTATGAAAGATTTGTTTGTCACCTCAGACATGAAATATAATTGATCTCTAGGCCCTTTTCATTTATGTAGTAATTTCATAGCTGTGTGTGTAGTAGTAAAAGTGAGAAAGCTCTTACAAATTGCATCAAGGCTGAAGAATGGTATTAAAGGATCTGTTTTGCACAAAGTAACAAAATACGGGTATCTGGCAGTGTGTGTAAGTGGAGCATAGCATTTTGGGCTTAATTCTGCAACTTTAATCAAATAGTGAGAAAAGGTTATGAAAAATATAGATAGATGGGCAAAATTTTTCTGTTTGCTTCTCATACTTGATCAATACACTGTGCTTTAAATAATCTTTTAAACATACATAGATATTGTCATTATTGATTTGGCCATCAGTGTAGAAGCTGGTTGTCTTCATCAATATGAAATCATTGGCAAAAATCCCATTGATTTCAGTGGTGTAGACTGGAATCTTCAAGTTAATATTAGACGTGCTTTTGGGTTCAAAACTTCATTATTTTGAGCTATAATGAGCTATAAAAGTCTATTTGCATTATCTGTAATATCTCAGTTTTTAGTGAAAAATGGGAGTAGTTCCACTTAGCATTCAGAACTTGGGCCATAGCTCTTTAAAATAAATAGATGAATTGATTAAATGAAGCAACTGTAGCTCATTTTTATAGTTACCTGCCTAGCTTCAATTTTGGATGAAACTTTTTTTTCTCCAGCCAATGTGTATAAGCAGTCTGGATTTCAGGGTTAACTTGTCATTGTGCTGTGTTTTGTTTATTTTATTGGAAATACATTATTTGAAATACTGTCTTGAGCCCTCATTTTGAAAAATAAATACAGTGTACCAGAATCACAGTTGATGTGAGTTTTGTACACCACCACTGCTACTGATCTGGCTTGTACACTGCCTATAAGATTTTAGTTATAGATGTCTATTACACTGTAACAAACTTTATTGTGGGGAGAGGGTCATTTCATTTTAGCTCATGTTAATTAATTACCCAAAGATTAATGAATTTCTAGAAATGCATTGTTATTAGTCATTAAGGTAACATGGGGAGGAAGTATCAATGTAATAGTAATCCAATATAATTGTTATCCTATTTTTAATTGCGTTTTTGTTGAAATGCTTTAAGCTCAAAAATGTTACTGAACTTGTTAATTATGTAGTGTGTAATTAATCTGAAAGAAATTTATGTATGTCAATTTAAGCCAAAACAATACGATTCTATTACAGTATTTCTAGAACCCAGATAATCTATTAATGCTACAATAATATAGTCCTACTGTGCATGGTCTGTTTTTGCTCATAAAGATTAACTTGTATTTTAATGAATTCTAGTTAAACTAGCTATATGTAAACAACAGGTTTCTTGCATTTAAATGGTATTATGGTCATGTCAACACTGACATCTAGACCTTGCAAATTGCTCTGCTTTGTTTGGGGGGCTGCTGTCCAGTTATACATGTCTGTGCAACAAATGTCTTGCTTCCTATTAGGAGACACCAGTGAAGAGTCACTCTACACTCAGCCTCCTTGCAGAGATGCAGTTTTGTTGTTGTTTTGGGGTATTTGGTTATTTCTGTTTATTCATGGACCTTGATCTTGCAGTGACGTCCATGGGGGCACAGTGGACAGCTTGGGGGAAAGCAGTTGTGAGCTGAGAATCTTAATTGTGAGGTTCAGTCTGTAATCCTGCATTGATCACACAAATCTTTCGTGAGTTACAGTGTCAGTAGGATTGTTTTCTTGAATAAATGCATGTGTTCTCCGTGGTTAAAGACCACATTGCATATTCTGTATAGCTTTTAGCCAAGCTTTCGCAGCTGGGGAAAAAACCTAAATTTTATTTTTCTCACTTTGCTGATTTCTATTTTGTAATATTTGTATTTTTGTTTATGAATTCTTTGCCTAAACAGAAGACTTATAATTTTTCTACTGCACACGTATATGCATAATTTACAAAGCCTATTTGTATTGGAAGGTGATTTTGCTTTATTTTTTCAGTTTCTTGACAGTACTAGTAATGATGTTAAAGCAACAAGGCCTTCAGTGAGTCTGTGGTGAGGAATTGCTCAAATAAGCAATCAGTTTCTTGGGTCAGTTGCTTTGAGCTAGGTGAGCCTATCATTGCTAGAGACAGGGAAAGCCTCTATAGAAAAACTAAATTTCTGTAATTTGGAAGTGGCTGGACCAGCTTTCCATTTGCTTTCGTAAAGAACTCGCCTTTATGCTGAATCCAAGAACTGAAACCTCTCCAAAGGCATTTTGTGATTGATGTGCTGCTGACAACTGGGAATTGAAGCGGTAGCTATATTTGGCTCAAGCTTTTCTGCTACTGTGTGTGCTCTGTTGCTGCTAACGATTCGTATACATGTGGTGTAATTCCAGATAGGTGTATGATGTGCATATTGAGATTATCTGTGCACACAAATACTTAGATTCAAGAAATATGTATGCAGAATTTGTTAAGAGCAACAGACTTTTGGCAGTAGCAACAGCTGCGATACGTGTGTACGTGTGCTTACTTGGAAAAGAAACCCAACCCAAAGACCTATATACAGTGAGTGGTTGGCTGACTTCCCTGTATGACTCTTTCTTCTTATGTTACTCATTCTCTTTGTTAATGTTGTTTTTTTATGCATAGGCTAGAATGTTGTGGAAAAATACCTGCAAGCACAATTCCTAACCATTCGTCATGGCTTCACTTTGGGGTTTAGATCAGACACATCTAAATCCCGCTCTGTAGTTATGTGCTCCACGTTCTCATGATGGCCGTCTTCCAGATCTGTGGGTCTGGAACGTGACTGATGTGCTCTGGGGTTTTTTGCTGAACTGCACTGGGTTTGGGACTTGTTACAAATGAGTTTTGTCATGCATCGTGTTTACGGTCATGGGGGAGAGGGCGGGAGCTACAGACGGAGGCGTCGCTGTGGGGCTTGCACTGTATCTGTTACGCATTCATATACAGTGTCATTTCCCTGTCACTATGAAACACCTTTACCGGTAGCGGTCACACGCATCCCCCTTGGATTGTGGCATTTTCTGTCTCGGGTTAAATGTGTGTTAATCCTGTGGGTGTTGCCATTCCTTCTACTTGCAGCTTCTCGACGTCATTCCAGGTCCACTAGTGCTCTCTCCACTGCTGATTCTGTTGGGCAGTCAGGTGAACAAGCGCTAACTGCATGAATCCGCTTCTTATACATAGTCTTGTTTTACACCATCTTAACATGTGCCGTCATGTGCATCAGCCAGCACTTGGCATGTGCTTCTCACCGCTGTGGGGCTTTCTGTTCTGTTTTTTGTTCAACATGGCTTTTTGTTTTGAATTTCATTTATTGGATGTTTTTAATTTTATGTATTTTAGGAACATTGTGAACAGTGTTTAAACAAAGGGTGATCCAGGGCTTTCTCAATTCTCCTGTAAATTGGATCAGTTGTGCAGCATGGGCTAAATTCTGACTGATGCAGCAACTTCTGTTTATATTTCCTCTTTAGCAGTGTAGCAGTTCCCAGTGCCTAGGACTGGATCCCAGTGGGTTTCATCCCATTTATTACTAAGTATTCTGGACTCCTGTCTCTGTTAATGAAAGTTCTTTGTGGGATCCTCTCCAAAATACAGAAGAGCAGCAAGAATTAAGCACCTGATGACCTTTCAAAATGAAATTTGGAGCATAACACATACTGATCCATCCTTCATATAATTCTGAAGGCCTTGTCCAAAGTACATGGAAGTTGTTGATAAAACGCTTCCCTTAATTTCTCAGGGATTTGCATCAGGAGACTAATGTTTACATATAATGAGAAAAAGCTGCAGATTTGAGTTGCTTCTTCCCCACCCCTGTGCTGGATTCACAGTTGTGGAGAACCTGTAACTCCCTTTGAAATCAGGATATTTCACTGAGAGTCTTAAAAAGAAATGAATGAGGTCTGCTAGCTTTGGGACAATGGAGCCTTAATTGTGGGGACAAAGATGATCTAGAAGATGAGGGCCTCAGTGTTTTATTGGAGGCTAAAAGTGTAAAAGGAATTTGTTATACTGAAGGTTATTTAATTAACCCCCTTCAGGTAGGGAGTGAAAAATACTCTGTTTCTCATAAGCATAGTTAAATGGCTGTCACTTAATTAAAACTCTCAAAACATTTCCCTTATCAGGTTACAGAATCAGGTTACATTTCAGCAGAAATGATGCAAGCTGATTTGACTGGCATTTTTCAAAGTAACAATTTGAGTTTTTGTTTAACAAAAATAATGGAAAATATTTAAAATAGCTCAGTTGTAATACAGATGCAAGCTTTGTTTGCATTCAGCTTCCTGTGATATTCACTTCATGCTTGGCTCCTCAGGTTTAGTACAAAGCAAAATCAAATTCTGTATGGTTACCTGTGTCCTAAAGCAGGTCAAACATCTTCCTAAAAATGGCAAAGTCAGGCCAAAAATGGTGCTTGGGAATTTTCACCAAGTTTGTAACAAGTATAGTGAATCTAGCCAGGGAGACAAGAGAATGTGGCCAGAGCCTCTTCTACTTATTTCTTGCCCAGTAACATTTGGCTTACCTGTACTGATTATTCCTAGAGCCAGATGTGTTCCCAGCCCCATATTAGAGATATGCCAAGGTCTCTCCTAAGGCCTAACTTCTGCACTCAGGTATGGCAACAGTGTTTTGGGGAGAAGCCCATAGTGACTTGGGTGTTATGTATTTAAGGATCACTGAAAGAAGCATTTCAGAAAACTCCTGATAGCTAGCCGTGGAGACAGATAAAAGCCAGCATGGCACACTGTATTTAATTTGTTAAAAAAACCTCAATTTTATTTCTTTATGCTGGGTATTTAAACTGATCTACAACTGAATTACTTTGTCATTCTGTTCTTCATTTAAAAAAAAAACACCACTATCTTCCCTTTTCTAATGTAATACTAAATTTATGTGAAAACAAATGACAGTGGTATTTTTTGATGCTATGATATTTCAAAAGTTAAAGCCAAATTCTGATCTCAGTAATACTTAAGTAATATCATTGAGTTGGGTTTAATTATAAAACTGAGTCCAGAACTTGTCTCAACATTTACAGCCCCTGTACTGTACCAGATATCATTTACACTTAGGAAAACACTTGTCTTCTTTATATCTTTGTAGTGTATATCTCTGTAGTAGTGACTTTAGTTTCAATCAGACCTAATGCATTATCATCTTCTCTGTGCTTCTGTTAAGAGTGTACAGATCTTTCCATTTTAGGGATGAAGTACTGTTTCACCTAAATACTTGAAATCATTCTTCAACCCAAGTGCATTAAAAAAGGGGATAGTAATAACACATACAACTTTTATTTCTTTGTGAAATGTCATGATTTGATTACTTTTTGGCAGTAGTTCTAAGAAGTTTGTTTATTTTTTTTTTCCCTTGTAATGTGTTTTGTAGAAAATGTGCTTTTGTTGTAAATCAGAAATGTCTTGTCTGGGTATGTAACTGAGAAATAGTAAATTTTGATAGATAACACTTCTATTTGAAATAAATACTAGTCCTTAGGTGGTGTTTTTGTTTTTTTTTTTTTTTTTTCTCAAAATACTTCAGATTTAAAAAAATCTTCCCTATTTCCCCTCAGTGGATTAAGCTCTGTCACACTCAGGTAAAGTTCTGGAATTAGGACAGTAGACTGCAAACTTCAGTCTCTGATTTAAATTATGTATCTCAGTGTGAGCTAATTCCTTAAAAGATATTTCAGTAGAGTAGGATTTTAAAGGAGAAAGCAATGTAGTTTTGGGATAAGTGCAGTGTTTTTCCCTCAAAATACAGTAAGCTGCTGAATATCATCTTTGGCCTCAGATTTGTGGAAATCCACAATATAGTTACACATTTTGATAAGCAGTATTTTTAGTCTGTTAAATTATAGATGAGCTAACAAAAAGACCTTTGTGACTTGATTCCTATCTTGCTGCTTGATGACTGCCACCAATGTGGATGGGCCTATTAAATGGGTTCATGCAGCTTGATTCACACACCACTGAATTTGTTGGCAAAACTCTTATTGGCACATGTGGATGCAGGGGACAGAGGTATAAGGTAGGTCCCAGGAGGGATATTTCCAGTCCTTCTTGAGCAAAGACAAGCCCACATGGGAACAAAAACTTAAAATGTCAAACCCAATCTCTTTCTGCTTATATTCTGGAGCCAGGATCCCAGTAATACAGTATCTGATCTACTCCCATATAGGACTGTGCTTCCAGAGCCTAGCCAGTGATAAGCAAGTCACCGATTCTGTCATATTCCTGCTGACATGCTTTTCTGAATTTGGCCTTTGCCCAAAGAAACGAATTTCAGTAACTTTTTCGGTAGACTGGGCAAGTGATAAAGTAAGCTAATTAGTATTAGGAGTGTAAATGGCATTTTAGACTCAGTCCTATTGCTTTGGATGTGACTGAGGGCTTTGCCGTCAAATTCAAAGGGAGAAAGATGATACTGTTTCATCAAAAATATCAATTTTGATCAGTCATAGAACTTTTAAATGACATTTAAACTGCTTCTCAGGACTAGTAATAAAACAATAATTGGAGTCACTTCACAAGCAAATAATAAACCTTATTTTTATACTGTGGGGCATAGAGGAATATTCTACTGGTTAATCAAGCCTTGAGACATAAAATGGGCTAATCTGGTGCTGCTAGTCTTGCATCCTTGTCTGAGAAAAAGCTGCAGGATGGATGAGTGCTCAGGTATTAACATGTTCTGACACTGGGCATGATTCTGTCTCTGAAGTTAATGAGAAGCTTTCTCTTGATCTCTGAGTGTGATAGATTGGGACCAGCATGTCTGCCCCTGACATTAAAATAAAACTTATAACTACTTCTGTGTAAAAAGAAACACAAAATAGATACCCTGCTGCCCAGCTTAAAAAAAAATAAATAATAATAATAATAAAAAAAAAAGTAGTTGTTGCCCTGAGGATCCAAAATTGTCTCTGGGGCCCAACAAACAATAGTTTATTTCTTACTCTAATGGCAAACTCTCTAGGGTTGTGGATAAAAGAGCGTTTAATGGAAAAGCACTGTGAGTTCCCAGAGCCTGAGGGGAGAGCTGTTCGGGCACCTGATTAGGATTCCAAGTGAATGTGAATTCATTTAACAATCCCTTTCAATGTTGTCTTTTGTGCAGACCGGTTTGGACTCGGACAGCCAGGCAGGATGCCTGCTTCTGTGAATGCCATGCGAGTCCTGAGCACAAGCACAGACCTGGAGGCTGCTGTGGCCGATGCACTGGTAAGAGGAAAAATGCAAAATGCTTCCGACACCAGAAAGTGGCTTGAAGTTACCTGTACGTACATTCTCCTCTTTCTAAAAAGCTTTGTTCTGATTGTGCCAGTGCCTGATGCTGTAGAGTTAGTTACCTTTGCTGTTTTGTCTTTGGGTATATTGGCAGAAGCATTTGTTTCCCTATTCTGTGTTAGTTCTCCACAATTGTTATCAAACAGACCGCTGTGGCTCGGTGCTCGAGCTGCAAGATGGGCTGAATCATCTGTTTGTTTTTCACTTGGCTGTCAGAGGATGTACATGGCACTGTGGGGGTGCTCGGCACCCATGGGGTGAGGCATTTCCATCAATCCCATTACCTGCATGAGGACTTTCTCAGAAAAACAGAGTGTTCTCTGTTAGTGTCGATTCCTGATCAGGTTTCAACAAGAACCGAGAATTTCACAAGTTCCTGCCCTGTATTATTTGCACCTGGCTGGAGACTCGGATCAGCTCATAACTTGGCTTGCCTGTAATCGGTATCATCTCATGCAGTTAAATTGAAGCGTATTTGTCTAGTCTGCTGCTAGTACTTTCAAACATTCAGTGCATTTCCAAGTAAATTTATTCTCATTTTTAAAAATTTTATTGTCCTGTATAATCTTACTGTACTATAATATCTCTTGGCTAAAACCCAGAAAGTGTTTTCTGCTCTTGAGAAGACAAATTTTACGATAAACCTTTGGATTTACCTTGAGTATTTGGGGGAGAGAGGACGTAGAGAGGCAGGAGCAATTATTATACTATGTTAGCTGAGTGCCAGTGTACCTTGGGACTTCTCCAGCTCTAGACCTGAGCTGAGGCAAGGATTTCCTGATGCATTTTGAGACAGATATCTCAGATCCCTCTTTATGGAGGATGAACCATGTCCCCAGAGTTTGTGATACATGTCCTTTTTCCATTTCCTAGTTAACTTTCCCTAAGGACGGCTAACATTTTCCTTTTTATATTTGATTATCACTCAGCTCATGTCATCTCCATTTCTAGATGATTGTTAAAGTACTCCTAAAGAAATGTCACTTACAAAATCTACCTTTCCATTAAAAAAAAAGTATTTGTGAATAATATAAATTAAGACAGTATATAATAGATGGCACTGTTGCACGTAGTAGGCTGAATCATTAGTGGGCATTTTCATTACCAAATACAGTAGATTGTGAGCCAATTTCTGCTTTCAGCACCTCAAATTTGCCACCAGAGGAGTTCAGGGCATAATTATAGGGGATGATTCCCCTGTGTAGATGAAATCAGGCTGTATCCCTGAATGTGAGCATTTGCTGAATACAGGTTTCTTGAGGGAGGGAAGGGTCACAGTGTTTCAGTTCACTGCTGATCACTAAGATCTCTTTGGGTATGAGTTTTTATCTTCAGCTAGATTTACAGAGTTCTCTTTTAAATATTCCAGTCTTTTAAACTAAATAATATTATACTGGACTGTTAAAATCTTAAAGGGTTGAGCACTTAAAAGGGAAATCCTTAAGTCTTAAAGGGGAAATCCTTAAGTCTAGCTGGAAACTAAGCGGTGCTGCTGACTTGGTTGATCAATCTGAATTTGTATGGCTTTAGGGGATGCAACGTGATCTCGTCGTCCCCTTCTTTCCCACCACCACAATTTGCTCTTTTTCTTGTTTGTCTTTTCATAACAGGCAATTTATAAGCTCTGTTCAGGTTCCTTTTGAGAGAGTAATGTGATGCCAGCTTTTACCCAGCAGCCTTGTTTTTCAGAGGAGTATTCTTTTCCCTGTAGTAGGAAATGAAAAGAACTTCTCCAAAGATGGGTTCAGCCAAGTACTCAGTTTAAATAAAACACAGTGGGTCATTTTGTGACCTATACTCCCTCTGTACAATTCCCGTTGGATCTGCTGCTGCTGTTTGAGAGCTGGACTTGACCTAACCCCACAGTGTCTATACAGGGAATCAGTGCTCGGATCTGTTAGAAGAACTCAGAGGATGATGGAAACCTTGGTGTTAAATAAAACCTTTAAGCCATAGGTGTCAGCCAGGGGGTCTTAAAAGAAGCTAAACTTCAAAAAAAGCATGGTGTAAGAACTGCGGGTTGAAAGAGAACTCGGTTAAGTGAAGTTGATTAAATGTGCTGTACTGTAGATAGTGGTTTCCTGGCATCAGAATTTCTTTCTTACACTCTAAAGTCAAATGCTACTAATAATATATGGGAAAATAAATCATTACCAAAAAATCTGGATATCTTCCAGAGCAGTGTTTCTGAAAAGTAAGCGAAGAGGTGCTGTATATAGAGCTGTCATTAAAAAACATATTAACAGATAATCTCACTTCCAAGCTCCCTAATGGAAATTGTAGGCTATACAAGTAGTGCAACAGTTAGGAGATAAAGTCAGGCGTTATTATACCCACTTTTATTTTGCTTAAACTGTATTTTTTTTAATTTGCTAAGACACATTTGCTATACATTTTTGTTGCAAAAACAAACCCTACATAAGCTTCTGACATAATTCTCTATGCTTTTTCCCACCCTTCAATATTTTCCTGCCTACAGCTCTTAGGAGACTCCAGGAGCAAGGTACTAGTGCTTTCTTGACTTTTTATTTCATTTTCCAACTTTCCCTACCCTGTTGCTAACGCCCATGATACTGCACTTGAGTTAATTTCTACGCTTCAATCCTGCAGTCCTAGTGGAAGCAAAAATCTGCTGGCTTCACAAGTCCAAGAACTGCAGGACTGGACACTGGAAGGAATTCTGTAGCAATCACTTTAGAATATAGATGATCTTTTTCTCGTACATTGTCTAATCAATCCTGTTCTCTTAAGGTTCATTTAAGAGTTTGTTTTGTAGTATAGCATACAATTTGTTTTGCTACCATAATTTTTTTAATATCCCTTCTGTAAGGATTGAGCTTGTGAAATATGTATGTAAGGGGATCAGGTCCTCTAATGCCATGCTATGGAGATGAGTGGAATTTGAGTACTCGAGTGCCTTAGCAGCCTCTGGAAAAATCCTAGCTCAAACTATCAGATAAATTGTCATCTCCTATATCCTAGTGCATTTCTAGAGTCACTTCATTATAAATATCAAAGTGACTGTGCATGCCAGCACAGATTCCTTCACCTCTTTCTTCTTTATCTTTACTTTTTTCCTTGAAGTAGAGATTGTATCATCGTAGAATCTATAACAATGGAACTGACCATTTTTGTCTATAAAACAACATATGCTTTCATTACCAGTAGCTAATTCCACTGGGCAAAAGCATCTTGCTTTCATGCTGGGGAAGGCAGGCCCTGCTCACTTTGGTCACTCGAATAGTCTCATTGAAATCAATGGCATCTGTCTTGCTCTACTGCGAGAGGTAAGCAGGCAGTGCTTGGTGACGCCTTTAAAACACTTATGTCACTATAACAATAGCGTTAGTCTTTCTTTTAGTGATTATGGATAGATTGTTTTTCTTTTGGCATTAACGTAACTATATATAATTTACTAAGTCTGAGTTTCCCCTATTCCAGAAAAAGCCAGTGAGAAGAAGGTATGAACCCTATGGGATGTACTCCGATGACGATGCTAACAGCGATGCATCAAGTGCTTGCTCGGAGCGCTCCTATGGTTCCAGGAATGGGGGCATTCCGCACTACCTGCGGCAGACTGAAGATGTGGCCGAGGTCCTGAACCACTGTGCCAGCTCCAACTGGTCTGAAAGGAAAGAAGGGCTCATAGGTCTTCAGAACTTACTGAAAAGCCAGCGGACACTGAGGTGACCTTGATAGTTTTATAGTGTCAGTCTTTCATGAGAGATAGTTATAGTCAGAAATCTGTAATATGTACCTGCATTATGGAGTCAGATAGTATATTTCACAGCTGTGAAGGCTCTGTCTCCACAATGTGGGACTTCTGGAAAAATTTCTGCTGTGTCATCAGTGTAATTTGTTTTAAATTTGTAGTAGTAATGTAGAAAGGACTCAGGTAAGCATTCTATCTTCTCTTAGCCTTCCTCTGTCATGTGAAGATTTCCAATAATAGGTGCTTGTTGCATCACAGTGAGGTTTCCCACAATGATGGTATTGTAAATGCATTCAAAGGGTGGTACTGTTTTTACAGTAGTCTGTTTTAACCTTACTTTTTTTTTTTTTTCCCTAGCAACGTAGTGGGTGAAGCAAACACTCACTGAGCTTACTCCAAAATGACTCAGGGTGTGTGTGTTTAAAAGATGAGATCAGATGATGTTCTCAGTTTGTTGGGTATACTTTGACTCTTTATGAAGACTGTGTTAGGAGTAATTATAGGTATTACTTGTAACTCTTGAAAAATCTTATATCAGAAACTGAAGTCTCCTTTAAATGGTGTGGTTTATAATGTAGAGGGAAGTTTCTTAGGGCAATAGAGTAGGTGTACCAACTCTGAAACTTTGCTTATGGTAGGAGAGGCAGACCTTTTTCCCTTGTTGAAAGCCACATAAACCCTTCAAACACCTTTGGCATGTCACACATTAAAACAGATCTTAAAATTACACAACAGTCATGTGAAAACTTCATATGGCCAAAGGTCACATTAAAGTCAAGTGGCTCTCAGGCCATAGGCTTTTCACCCTTAGTTTATGGTAAAAGCGTTTGAAAAAAAGCTGTTTATCCCTTGGCTCCTTTGAAGATAACATTTACAAATAGCTGCAATGTTTTTATTTTTCTGTTATGAATATTATGTACTTAAATTATGACCAAGTTTATGAGTGGTTGTTCTATGGTTTATAGCCTACCTACTTGGATTTGCGCAATTGTTTCCATTTTAAAAGGCCATAACGCTGGCTGAGAGTATTTGATGGTTCATGTTAACAGGCTGAATGAAAATATACTGAGAGCAGGCCTGGAAAGGTTGTTCTCTTGCCATCATAAAGATATTCTAGCACTTCACATGATGCGGTACAGTCCTTAAGTGGCAAGTGCTACAGGTCTTTGATAATGAATAGTTAGAGTCTCTAGATCAGAGGAGCTTTTTGATGTGGTCTATTTACATATCTTCTAAAAGATACTTCCCTCATGTATGCTGTCTTTTTTTTTTTTTTTTTTTTTAACAATCTGGAAAAACTGTGGCACCTCATATACTTGTATGAAAAAATTGGGTGATACTTTGATTTTGCTGCAAAGGTGTGTGAGGATTATAACCAAGGTTTTGAGTGCTGTTGGGGAGGAAATGCTGAGAAGGTTGGCTGATGGGCTATTTATCCAGATCAGTAGCTCTTAGCAGAAATGCCAGTAGAATTAAACTATTGTTTTCAACCCTGCTGGTTGCAGTGTTTGGACTGTACTGCTGTCACTAGTTCCTCAAGCTAGCAAGTTTTCTTAGCTTTGATCTTGAATAATTTATAAACCTGCCTCAGAAACTACAAGCCTGCAGAGTAATTTTTTTAATTTGATACTGGTTTTAGTTCTCTAGATTATATTTCATTTTGGTTTGCTTTAGTCTGCTTCCTCCTTGGTTTAGAGTTGATCTGGTGCCTGTTCTAATGATTAGATTTTATCATCCTGTTTGTTCCCACGGCATCTTGCAGAACATCATCAAGGTCATTAGTCTAAGGGACAAGTCTGTCTGTCTTCTAATTAAACCTGATATCTTGTGTTGTGGTATAACAAGTTTAATAAAAGGCAGTGATGTGGCTAGGTTTTCTTTAGAAATGAAAGAGGTGGCTGATCCTATATTAGCTGGGATTTGCATAGCCGTAAAGATGTGCATGCAAAGTGGTGTGATGCTTACCTATCCTCTTTGTTTCATACATCTTCATGTGGCCTAGTTCTCTAAGGGCTCCCCATAAGGTCTTCTAAATAAAACAAGGCCAACAAATCCCTTAAGGAAATGTTCTTCCACTGCCTGATCCAGTTTAGTACTTGCATTGTTAACCTTGGGTCCATGAGGTTTTGGAGACAGACACGCTTATACTTGCTGTCTTCATGTAACCTTTGTCCAGAAAGAAAATTCATTAGAGTAATAAACAAGGGTTCATTCAGGGAGCTGCAATCTGCATGAAATCAGGAGAGTGTTGCAGAGTAGTCATTTTGAGACTGTACAGTCTCATCCTGAATGAAGCTGACAGCTTCCTGTGGCATCGTTGCAAAGTCTTTTTCCTCTACATCAGGCTCTTAAGACCATTGTTTTTGTGCTTTTAAAATGTGATCGGCCTTTCATGCATAGGTTTATTTGAAAAAATGTCCTGTGTGTTGTGGTTTAACCCCAGCTGCCGTCTAAGCCCCACACAGCCGTTCGCTCACTCCCCCTCCATGAGACGGGGAAGAGAATCAGAAGAGTAAAAGTGAGAGAACTCATGGGTTGAGATAAAGACAGTGTAGTAGGTAATGCAAAAGCCACACACGCAAGCAAGGCAAAATAAAATTCGTTCACCACTTCCCATGGGCAGGCAGGTGCTCAGCCATGCCCAGGACAGCTGGGCTCCATCATGCCTAACAGTGACTTTGGGAAGAAAAATGCCATTGCTCCAAAAGTCTTCCCCTTCCTTTTTCTTTCCCAGCTTTATATGCTGAGCATGACATCATATGGTACGGAATATCTCTTAGGTCAGTTGGGGTCAGCAGTCCTGGCTGTGTCCCCTCCCAGCTTCTAGTGCATCCCCAGCCTCCTCCTGGTTGGGGTGGTGTGAGAGGCAGAAAAGGCCTTGACTCTGTGTAAGCACTGCTCAGCAGTAATGAAAACATCCCTGTATTATCAACACTGTTTTCAGCACAAATCTGAAACATAGCCCCATACTAGCCACTGTGAAGAAAATTAACTCTATCCCAGCCCAAACCAGCACACTGTGTTACTTATAAACAAGCTGACATTTTTTTTGTTTAAGCAAGGTATAGACTGCTAGCATATTCTGTCCTGTTCTTTTAAGCTTATTTTGAGAGAGAGAGGGAGGGATGTGTTGCTAGACTGTAGAACTAATGTCTTTCTGGAAAGAGAGTACCTGTAGTCCAGTTTCTAAATGGCTGTTTTCTGAGCAATCCATGTGTGTTTCACTGGTTCCTCTGGTTTCATAGTAGTTGTCAAAAATACCTAATTGCATCCATAGCATGTGGGAAATATTACCTAACTGTCTTGCTCTGTTTTTGTTTGCACAGTAAACAAGCAAAACTTCTGCATTCTTTGGCAGTTTGCCTTGCAGGAAAACTAAGACTTGTATTTTCAGTACATTGCAAATAGGAGCTGTGGCACCACCCAGTTCTGCATTTGACTCAGTATCGTATGAAAGGGACCCATGCATTGTTCTTTCCCTGGCCCCCCACCCCCCCCAGCATAAAAAGGTCATTACTGAGCACCTAATAATCCCTTCCTAGTAGAACTTAGATTGTACTTTGATTCAATTATCTTCTATCTTACTAGGTTGCCCACTTGTTAATCTTTCTTCCATTTCTATGTATTTGTCTCCTCAATGTGCCTGCTCTCAGACTTTGGAGTCAATTCTGGTATCTCTTAATAGTGTGTGATTCTAGGCTGGTTTTACTGAAGCAACTGAGAATTGGACCAAAACACTCATGATCAGTGTGTATTCAAACAGCATGAAAGTTCTGAGTTTAGTTGAAAATTTGAATTCCCTCACACAAAGACTTGAGAAACATATTCCTAGGCTGCAAAAGACCTATGTTTAAGTCAGTCAGCAATCTTGATGCAGGCAGAAAGTACATGCCTCCCAAATGTGCATGTTTCAAGTTGTCTTCTGCAGTCCAGAATACAGAAGAAAACAGAAGCAGCAGAAAATACAAGTGTCTGTCTTACGATTTTAAAAAAAAGTGTTCATTAGCTTTCTTGATGTAAGACTGGTGATCCCAGCAGTTAAACTGGAATGCCAGTTAAGGCTTTGCCTAGACACAGAGTTTTCAGAAGTGTGACTTAAGTAACATTTAAATAAAGAAGGTTAGATCTTTCAGCTGTTAATTAGCTTTTTTGCTGCAACTAAAGCTTTAGCACTAATACCATGTTTTATTTATGTATTTTAGCCGAGTCGAGTTAAAAAGGCTATGTGAAATATTTACTCGCATGTTTGCTGACCCTCACAGCAAGGTAAGATCACAAAGACTTGGCTCTCTCTCTTATGTTACCATGTGTGCACATTTGACACTGTTCCAAGATGAATGTTTTGTATTTCTACCCCTGCCATCTGCTGGGGGAAACTGGCATTTATAAATCTTTATTTTTATGAATTTTACAGTGAAGGGATGTGTCTCAGTCTCTCTTACGTTGCTAGGAGCTGGTTACTCTGTGCTTCCCAAGGAGCAGCCTAATGCCTTTCAGATGTCAGCTCCTGGCATAGGAAGTTCAGTTCTATCTGTACTTCTCCTGGGAGTGCCTTGGTTATTCACAGTAGAGTAAGGTCCGTGAAGGGAAACGAGCTATAGTTCATCATCATGGTCACTGCGGTTTGTGTATTGTATACACCTGGGAGCAGTATGGGGTCTCACTGTTCTGGATCTATAATTAGAGTTTTTAATATAGCTACTTCGCCTTTTTTTATAACAATGACCTTTGTATTTAAAGGCTGTGGCATGAATTTATAGCCATCTCTTAAAAAGAAGCAGGCTAGGGATTGGGAAGGTTGAGCCCACAGGCATGTTCAGACCCAGTGGTCTTTTGTCAACAGGTAAGCGGTAGCAGGGAGAGGGGTAGAAGGGAGTTTTAAGCCCTTTCCTGAGGAGGTTTGCTGGTTGAGGGCAACCAGTAATGGCTGGGTAAAAACATCTGCTGTTGGGTTAAATACAGTTTGAGAAAGAATAAGTTGTATAAATATTTGTACTTCAGACCACTTGGTAAACCAGTTTTAGTAAATGGTTGTCAGGTGGAAATCCCCTGAGCAGGCATAGTTCCCTGTCCCAGGTCTTGCTCAAAGTGTGCATTTTTGGCTGGAGTTATAGGTTGGACCAGCTTTTTCCCACAGACCTAACTGAGTGTGGCAGTTCCTACCTGTAAGGTCTTCATGTTTTGGTTCTCAGAGGTTCAGTATGTGTTGCGGAAAGGGTGAAGGTGAATTTCTGAGTAAAGTGAGGGTTTATTGCACACTGGACTCAAGTACGTCCTCTATGGCAGCAGTGATCTGTCATCTGTACTGCTTTTTAGGATTACTGCTATGAACGCCTTAGTTGTGGTGTTAAACATATGTAAACTTCGTTACATATAAATGTGTTGCTTTCATGACTGAGGAGACTGGATCTGATCCAAGATATATAATGTTTTAAGTAACTCCACTGAGAAGAGATGGTGTATTAAGAAAATGTAAACTTTCAATGAATGCATCTTTTATCTGTTGACAATCTGCATCTGAACAACCAGTCTTGATCACTATGTGTGCTAACGAGTGGTTTGTTTTGTTGCATGGCCTGCTTTGCTGTGGAATTCACAACAGAGAGTAAGTGTATTCTACCCCCTTCTTTCATTTGTTTCATGTGGTATTTTAATATGACACATTTTAGATGTGTCTTGTGTGATTATTTTTTTTCAGAGCAATGTAGTCACTAAAATCATTCATTCATGAAACTGTCTATAACAAAATCATCTTGAAACTGAGATTGTAACCCCCTTCCCATTGATTATTTTTATTCAAAGCACCATATTCCTTTTTGTGACACTTATTTTTGTTTATAGGTCTTCAGCATGTTTCTGGAAACCCTGGTTGATTTCATCATCATTCATAAAGATGACCTGCAGGACTGGCTTTTTGTTCTTCTGACCCAGTTGCTAAAGAAAATGGGAGCAGATTTGCTGGGGTCTGTGCAGGCAAAAGTTCAAAAAGCTCTAGATGTCACCAGGTAGAGTACTCTGATGGCAAATGTTATGGAGGCTTTTGCAGGATTCCAGGAAGGCGTCTGATGAACATTTTATTAACCAAACAGTGCTGTATATTTTGAGGGCTCAATCTTGATGAATATCAGAATAAAGGAGAACAAAGTTATGTCACAATATTTCAATCACTGGATTAAAAAGGCCTGTCTATTTTCTAAATATATAACTTTAAAGCATAGCATTTAAAATGTGTAACTGACTAATTTTGTTAATTTGATTTTTTTGGTGTGCATGTGCTTGGATATCAATTTTCTTTTTGATTGATGGAAAAAAAAATATTTGCAGTATTCAGAGTATGAATGGTGCTTTACCACAAAATGCAAATAATCTTTCCGGTTATTCAAACAGCAATTAATGGTAATGTCAGGATAAGATCTTGAATGCTACTGCAGTGTGTGCACCAATTCTGTAGTCCATGTCCTTTTCTAATAATGGCCGGCACAGGATATTGTTACAATAAAGTTCAGCTCATCCTGGAAATAGAATAATTTAAAAAAACCCACAGTAGTAGTAATCCGGGAGAAAATAGGATAGAGTAGAAAAAAAGAGGAGAGAAATCAAAACCAGGCATGAACACTAAGGACAAGATAAACCAAGGTGCTACTAGAGATAAGGGAACAAAGCACAGCCTCAAATGAAGGAGGAATGGAGTGGTGTGCCAAATGCTGTGTAAGTGTACAGAGAGCAGATAGTGTAACAGTGTATAAATGTATCGGTGTAGCCATCTTCTCTGGTATTAAATCAATAATCAGGTAATCATTACGCTAGGAGTTTCTCTGATTAATGGTGAAGTTAAGAAGAGGAAGAGCATGAAAGGTGTTGAAATCTGTTGTGTAAGCTTTAATGTATCAAGTTAATTTAGTCCTGAAAATTTATGTTGCATTACATTTTTGCCTTTGTTTTTTTTGCACAGGGATTCTTTTCCATTTGATCAACAGTTTAACATTTTGATGAGGTTTATTGTAGATCAGACCCAAACACCAAATCTGAAGGTCAGTATCAGAAGCCTTTTTACTAAAGCGTCATCGTGGTTGTTTCAGTTTGCCATGTCAGCCGTACTGTAAGGCATAGAATTCATGATAAGATAAGTAATTGTAAGTACCTGCTTGATATAGAAATTATATCGGCAACTTTAACTCTCTTGTTCTCTATTTTAAAAAATCTAAATATGTTTAAAATAGGGCCCTGCAACTCATCACAAGTCAATATGAGCTGGGCTTTAAGCACGCTGGAACCTATTAAAGTTTAGAGGTGGAAAATTCCTCTTCACTCTGGTCTTAGTGGGATGACAGCTTGGCTGTGCAGGACAGAAGGGACCACACCCTGTCTCAGGGGCTGGGAAGTTGGGACCCTAGGCACACCTTAACAAGCACTTGTTGCATAGATCAGACATAACACATGTAGGGTTTGGAGAAAAAAACATCAGAGCTTTCTGTTACTGAATCCTCCCAAAGGGATACTGTTGTGCAGACTCTTTTTCAATAGGTTGCTGTTTCAAGGCTATAGGAACACTGTAAACTCTGGAAGTCATACACATTTGTCTTCCAGAGACGGGAATACACAGGATGCCAAATGACTCAAGTGTTCTTTCTTCAGTCTCTCAAATTTTGGAACTTTTGAGACTCCAGCATCATCAGACATTTGGTTTGAGGCCAAAAGCTATGGTTTGGCATATAGAACAATAACCACTGGTGGAAACAGTGTGGTGGAGTACTGATTTGCTTATGCAAAAGCAGACATATGTATTTCAAGAGCCAGTTCTGATACACCATTCCAGACTCCTACTGCACAAAATTTATCCTGGGTAGAAAGTTGCTCTTGATTTTTGAAACCTGACATAGAGACATGTCACTGATACTTTTTTTCTCCCCCCATGTGACATAAGTCTTGTCAATCTGCAGTGGTATCTGTTTATTATGGAATAAATCCATCTTTACCAGTTCATAAGCTTAACAAATCCTTTTTCACTTCTCAGGTGAAAGTTGCTATCCTGAAGTATATTGAGTCCTTGGCAAGACAGATGGATCCAACAGACTTTGTGAACTCCAGTGAGACAAGACTTGCTGTGTCTAGAATTATAACTTGGACAACAGAACCAAAGAGCTCAGATGTGAGAAAGGTAAGCCGTGATGATGAAGTATTTGCAGTAATTATTCTTCTTAAACAAAACCAACAACAACGAAAAAACCAAACCCCACAAAACCAAAACAAACCAAAAAGTCATAAAGGTAATGGAAAAATTCAGTGATTAGATTCTAATTTTAAAAATTGATTTTGCATACCTTACTGTCCAATCCAAATTGCCAAGTCAGTAAAGACACATTTCTGAAGCATGTCTTCATGTGTTTTTTTTCTTGTAGGTACTTAGCCATGTCACTTTAACTGCTATTACCATGCATAAAGAAATCATAGTTTGAAAATGTGCTTTTTCTTAGGCAGTCTGGAAATATCTCTAGGTTTTTCTTTGTTTAGGTGAAGGCTCTGTGCTTTGTAGACTTAAATGAAATCTAGCACAACTCTGTGTTAGAATATTGTTAAAAGAAAGTAAACAAATCAGTAAGCTGCCAGGGGCTCTCAACTCTTTTATTTTAAGAGCTGTGTGTTTATCTCAACCTGGAAAAAAATGACACATTTAGGTCAGGCCTGGGTAATAGTTACCTTGTTCTTTATTTTGCTCTAGATGCAAGTGTCAGGCAAGCTAAAATGGGGCAGATAGTGATACTCATCTTTCCCAAGAGAAAAGTGAGACTTAGTTTTACCTACCTGACATCTGTAACACAATTTAAAATTACCTTCTCTTCCCAGCCCAGATGTAAAAATAGAATCCAGTTAAAGGCTCTGAAATGTCCTTGGATTTAAAAACAAAACAGAACTTCAAGCATTTCAGAATGTAAAAATTGTATGAGACTTTTACATTCTACATGCTATTAAAACGTTGAATTACTGCTAGAATAACATTGTTTTATAACTTTGGAAATAAGAGAACTATTTTTGTTATTAGTGGTTATTTGATTCTGATGGAAAGATCTCTAGGTATCAAAGGTGCTGCAACTGCAGCATTATCTGATAGCTGACACAAGGCTTCAAAGAAGCTTTTTGGGTTCATGCTGTTTGCTTGCTGGCATATAGATGATTTGATCTAGAGAAAAATGTCTCATCCTCTTTTCTGAAGATTTTCTGCAGGGTTCAATCCTGCCAGTGTGATTGAAATTTGCTTCTGCAAGATAGTCTGCCTCAGAGGGAAAGGGTGACTTTAAATCCTGGACTTAGATCTGGAATATGTGTTTCCATTTTGATGTGTCCATATGCAAAGTCAGAAGGAACTAAACAAGCAATGAAGCTGCTTCTCTACTGCAGTTCAAGTAAACCTCAGGCAGTTTAGTCTGCTGGTGGTCTGCAAGATACAGAAATATACATAAAAAAGAAAAATCTTTGCATATTGCTCAGCAGAAGAAATATTCCACCATTAGGGGTCATCATTGCTGCATGCAAAATTGAGTGGAGTATCTGCAGCAGCTGAAAAATTTGGCTGTGGGCTGTGAAGCTCTGGGATATGGGGAGCGGGTGTTCAGTGTGGTGTCCATCCTTCTGTCTGTTTCAAAGACGTGCAAAGCTCTGGCAAAACTTCCAGCAAACTCCACCTGAGCAAGTGCCTTGGAGCTGATGAGATTACTGACTCTAAATTCTTTTTATTTAAACCTGCATGTGACTTGGTTTTCCTCTGATACCTGTAGCTTTCAAATAAATTATTACACAGTTAAGCTAATTTAGCCTACTAAAAATGAATGCCTGGTGATCTTTTTCATCGTACAGTTGCTGTACTATGATTTTATTGAGAACCTAGTACAAACCTCAGGCTTTAGAAAAAACACTGCACCAAAGGATTTACAAGCAGTCATTGGCCATTATCTCTGTCAAGGCAGTAGTTAACAGACCTATAAATTCATTACGCAGTGACGAACTGGATTATCAAGGGCCAACTCAGACAGGTGAAATGTTCTGAAGAACACAGTTTAAAAATTGCCTTCCTTTTTTGGAGACTATAACTTGGGAAAAAAGTACCTTTATCAAGATGATTCATTTAAGCAGCAGAAGATTCTGCCCGTGTGGGAGGTATTACAGTGGTCTTCAGGATCTGAGGTTTTCTAAGTGAAAACCAGACCATGCATTGCAAACATTTTCACAACCTAAAAATGGAGATGGCACTTGAGATGATGGGGGGGAGGGAGAAGAGCCAGTTCAGTTTTCAAATGATCAAAGTGCTACATGAGGCCTGTAAAAAGTGTAAAATTAGGTAATTTTTCAATAGAATCTGGATTTGAGAACACCAGTGCAGTTAATTCAGCTCCTGCAAGCTGACAAGAGCACACTTCATTTTTGGTAGTGAGGAATCTTGTCTGGAGTAGTCCAGTCCACGTGTGCTCCTGAAGCTGTTTTGGTGGAACAGCAATGCAAGTGCTCAACTACTCGTGGAGGCAAGGACCTTCCGCAAGAAATGTAGTTCTGCAGCCAGTGTGGTTCTACTGAATGCTAACTTAATGCAAGTAGCATCTCTGTGTATGTGTGGCCATGTTATTCTGTCTGGATTTTACCTTTGAGCAGGTGCAGGTAAAACAAACTTGCTCATGATGGTGGTGAAGTATAGAAGTGACATCTGTCAGTGGGTAACGCATGTGGCTACTGTGTGCACATGGCAATTAATCATGCAGATCTGATCCTGTGGTAGCAATCAAGGGGTCTGTTCAATAAATGGATTATATTTTCAGTCCATAAGTGAGATAATCCTTTTATTAGTGATCATCTGTCTGTTACTACTCGTCCCTATGTGTAAAGGTCATGGAGGTCCCAGCCTTATAGTGTTAAGACACTGGAGAAAATAGCACAAAAAGTGGCATTTAGTCCAAAAAACTTTCAAACTCAATGATACATCTTTATTAATAAACTTTGCATATCCTTATGATGACTACGTGAGCACACTTAGCCTGTCTGACACCTGATTTGAACTGCAGATCATGTTTTATAGCTAGTGAAGTCAGAAGGAAACTTGGTCAAAGGAGACACTGTTGTGCATAAAACATAAGCTCTGTTATCACAAGAAAAACATGATGCACTTTGAGGAACATATAGTTGATATTACAGGGTGCCATTGACAAAATATCGTGACTCCCTCTCAGGGCAGAAACCACTTAAGTTACTGATAGTAGCCATGAGCTATGTACGGTCAAAATTATTGTCAAGCTTTGTTTACAATAAGGTGATCTGCAGTGTGTTACAGGTAAATATTTGTCTTGTTTTAAAGATTGTTAATACTTAGGGGTGTTTACCCTGCATTCAAGTTAAGATTTACTTCCTGCAAGCAGTGCTAGAAGAAAGGTGAAAGACATTTGTCCTCCGTGCTGAACAAAAGCCATTGGGTAGGAACAGGTCACGCAGCACTGGGTGGAGACCTGGCTGGGATGTGGTTCCAGTGCAAGGAGAGCACCTGTTGGTAATTTCTGCACATACAGCCATCAAGCTGCTTTTTCCCCAAGCAGTACATATCAATGGACAGGGCACAGATCAGGTTTTCAGATAACTGAGCTCTAATTTTGACTGCAGTAGCATATAACCTTGTGTGATGTACTTTACTTTCCTCTGCCTTGGTTTATTCCTCTGTAACAGGGTGTTAATTCTTATTTTTCTCTGGAAAATGTTTAAGCTCTGATGAAATCATTTTACAATTGCCACACATAAAAGTAACACAATGGGAATGCAAATACTGTGATGACTGGTCTGAGGACATTAAGTCAGTAACTTCGCCATGTTATCACTAATATTGCCAGCAAAGTTATTGTGCAATCCTTACGTAGGTAAAGTGCATATTGAATTTGGATGACAGACTCGGGCTCTGTGTGGAAAAATACTTTGATCTTGGAAAAGAGCCATCAGTTTGAGAATGGAAATAAGAATGAGGCTTCTGATTTGACTCTGGCCAAAGCCTAAAGAAGTCTTCTGTCCAAGGCTCAGGTGGATGGAAACTTTTATTAAATGTGAGTGCTCAGAATTTGAGGGGATGGTGTTGTCTGAGGGCACACAGCATTTTAGCTTGTGCAGGCTGAAGGGGAGCAAGGCCTTGTGAGGTGAAAGGCCAGTGACATTGCCTACTGTGTCATTAATCGGCTGAGCTCTGGTTGTAATGATAAATAACAAGACCTGTATTGCCTGATCATCATTTGAACTACTAGTCTCAGGGAAGAAATTTTTTTCTTTGTGTCAGATATCCTGACTGGCTTCTCTGTTGATGACACGTTTCTACAGTAGTTGTATTTTACAAGCCTGAATGCATTTTGACATGCTATGTGCAGCCTCGTATCACATATACATCATGTTTTGCCTTCAACTTACATAACTGGGAAAGCTTTTTCTTTCACCTGTCCCACTCAGTAGTGAGTTTGGCCAAGCTCTGTCCTGGAATACAGACAGTGGATGGGACTTGGTAAGATACCAGAACCATTTCAATGAATAAAAAAATCCCAGGAGAATACTTGTGTTACTGTGATTTGAATGAAGTCCCCCTCAGACTATCTAGGGGTAGGGCCCTTTTTGGATTGGCACCAGTGGTTTGCAGGTGAAATCTAGCGGTGTCCAAAGAAAACAAGTTTGGGATCAGATTTCTTTTCCTAAAACTGAGTAATTGGGAAACTGAGTTTCTGAGTTATACTGGAAGATGAAGAAGATTTCAGAGAGAAAGCTGCAGGTCAACAAATTCTTCATATTATCAAACAGCTAATGTGTTTACTTCTTTATTGAGAAATATTGATGTTATCACTTTGATAAGGAAATCATATCTATCAATAAAGCTCAGAGCATGTTTGGATAAAATATTGCTGGGATGTCTTTAGGAAGACCAGTGATAGACAGAAAAGCAAACACTGCTAAAGAAGTGAAATCAGGCTCCTTGGCAACATGATGCCAAGAGACTTCTATAAAATCTTCCCCGAAGCTTTAATTTTCCATCTAGCATCAAGTTGATTTCAGCAACTCTCGCACAGAAGCTTCACTGTTAAAGCAGTCCCAAAGACTCTTAGTGAGCTGAAATGGCATTGTTCATCTTCACCAGTGTTAGGCAATAAACACTGT